ATGAATACAAGAATTTTGCTTCCTGGACATGAGCGTTGAGGGCTTTCACCAAATGTAGGTTTCAGATCATTAATCAATTCATCATTAATCAATATAAATTGTATTGCTGTTAGGATAATTCCATAAGTAGACTACAGACTATAAAATAGCATATTTTGTAGAAGATTAAATGATTCTTTTTTGAGTAAGTAAAGTTTATTTAAAGCTAACTCAGACAACAGAACTTTGAACTGTTGTTGCTAGTACTGCTACAAGTTTTTTTTTTTCTATCTCTTTTACATGAAAGCAAGGAAAACAATTGAATAAGAGCCTAAGCATGCTATTTTAATTTTTAGATATGAGTTTGCCTGATATGTTTTCTGTTAATTTTTTTTCTGAGACGTTTACAGCTGTATTTTAGCAGTAATAAGAATTACTACTATGTTATTACTACTGCTATTTCTATATTAAATTTAAATATTGTATATATGGCATATCAATTTGGGACAACTATTTTAGACCTATTGTTAAAGTGAGATTTTGCATAGATTTTCTATTTGCTTAAAAAAAATAGCAGCTTTTAAACTTGGAGTCAGCTGATCTTGTTTACTACTATTGTTAATTTCTTACTAAGTTTTTAATAGATTTTACTGCACCTTGTAGCTGTGTTTTGTCCAAGCTTTAAATTTCCACAGTAGGTACTTTTTTTTCCCCCTTGGTTTTCAGATGTTCATTTCAATAGTTTGGCAACATATTGCTCATTCTGATAAAAAAATAGAAAAAATTGGGATTTGATCTCTAAAGTTTTTTCATTTCAGATAGGAAAGTAGAGTATTTGAGTCTAGTTTACCTGTATACTTTGCTTATACTTAAGATACATTGAGTTTTTTGTTTTTCTGTATTGTATTTCATGAGTGCATTAATGAGAGGGTGTAGAATGTTTTTTCTCTAGTTTGTTATGGAAGCAAGCCCAGGTAGCTCTTGTTTCTTTTACCTCTCTGTAATTCTCAGGTCCATAGTTTAAACCTTAACCTACAATATTCTGAAAATTATTTTTAAACTATTTTCTTTTTAATTTTAAATAATATATAATTGACTAACCCAGCCTTTAACCCTTACCATTGTGTTAATCACACACTGCAGACAATGTTTAAATTCCATTAACCTAAGTTGTCTCTGTCATTCCTTTCTGGGTTCGGGATTTGCAATTATTTTACTCAGATTTTTTTTTTAGCCATTGCATTCTGAATTACTGCAAAGTATTTAATGCCATCTGGAATTTTCATTGCTTCAGACCTCACTGAAGATCAGCTACCTTTTGCATGAAAACTAATTTAATCAACAAAATACATATGCTTGTTTGACATATACCCCTTAAAGTCATAGCAAACTTTCCACATATCATCTTTCACTATTTACAAAGCAACCAGATTTCCTTCTTCTGATTGGAGGTCAATGAACTGTGTGTTCTGTCTTAGAATGGCTGGAATTGGAAGGGACCTGAAAGATGATCTCGTTCCAGTCCCCCTGCCATGGGCACCAGTACCTTCTACCAGGACCAGGTTGCTCAGAGCCCCATCCAGCCTCACACTTCAGGCTTGGGGCCTCCACAGCTTCTGTGGACAGCCTGTGCTAATGTCTCACCACCCTCACAGTAAAGAATTTCTTACTAATATCTGATCTAAACCTCCTGTCAGTTTGCAGACATTCCTCCTTGTCCTGTCACTATGTGCTTTTCTGGAAAGTCCCTCTCCAGCTTTCTTGAAAGTCCCCTTAAAGTACTGTAAGTGCACTAAAAGTGCTGTGAGATCTCCCTGGAGTCTTCTGTTCTCCACACTGAACAAGCCTAGCTCTCAGCCTTTCTTCATGGTTAGCTGTTCCTCCAGTTGTCCTTCGTGACCTTCCTCCAACACATCCATGTCTTTCCTGTGCTGAGGACCCCAGAGCTGGATGCAGTTTCTGTAGGAAAAAAAATTAATTCAGACCAATTTGTGTGCTTTGAAACTCTTGTCTTTAGGTGAAAAATAGCTTCAGACATGGTGGCATTATTTGTGTCAGGCTCATCCAAGCAGCTGTGGAGCTTCCTGTGATGTGTTGCTCCTTTTGAGGTGGCACTGGGAGGTACAGGTGGATTAATCAAACACATTGCTGTTGTGCTCCCACTTCAGAAGACCTTTCCTGTTTCTTCCTCTAACTCAGCTTGTGTTGCAGCTCCTTGGTGATCTGATTCAGAGCACTGGGATGGCAGGGTTTGTTTATTTATTCTGTGGGTTAGATTCCAAGTGTAGTGGGCTGACCAAGAAGGGGATCAGCAGGCACAACTTTGGAGGCTGGATAAGCATATGTGGAAAGTTTGGGAAGTGGAGGGGAGAGAGTGTGTCCTTAAAGAATACATTTGCAACCAGCTGTCCAATTGCTTGCCATCTTGACCACTGTTGATCGATGCTATTTTTGCTAATTTCTCAGATAGTGTTGTCCGAGCATGGGAACTATTATTTTTTGGATTTTGTTTCTCAGAAAAACCTAAATCTTTTTCAAAATAGGCTTTTTCACAGTGGTATAGGATACTTTGTGTATCATTCTTGAAATATAGATAAAGCAAATCCTGACTCCCTGACCAATTCAGAGAATTACCTGAACTGTAATTTAACTCCCCTAACTTAACGGGTGATCCTTGTGTTTGCTTTTATAACTGTAAAAGAAACCTGTTTTCTGTTTTAGGTAATATCCCTACACTGTGCAAGCTTCCCCCGTGAGAGAAAAAAAACTTTGGGCTCTGGTCCTCCATATTCAAATGGTGGATGGTGTGATCTCTCTTGTATTACAACTGGAAAATATATTGGTATAACCCTGCTAAGTCCATCATAGTTATGGATCCTATTTCTGAAGCAGCAGCTTAAAATTGTACAGATATTTCCAGCGGACATGTAAAACATACTGGCATGAACTGTGTCTTTTAAAGTGCCTAGGAATGTTTTGTTTCAAAGGTGATACCTATATATATAATCCTAATGTTAGAGCACTTTTTCAACCATTTTAAGAGTGCTATCTGAAGTTAATATTAGATAAGAATAAATAAATATTTGCTTAGTGTTCTCAGCTTCTTACCCCCAGATATAACTGGTTTCTCTAACCACTCATGTTCTTTGTAGATTTTAGGCTAAGCAGCAAGGGAAACTGTAAAATTCATATTCCAGAAAGTTTAATCTGATCTGCCTGTTAACAAATCAAATCTTATCTTTTCATCCTGCCCTCCTCAGAATGGCTTTAATGTTCCCTGTTGTCCTCCTCCCTGTTTGCCCCCTCTCCCTCTGGTTTTTTTTCCTCATTGCTTTATATTGAATTGAGGATTGACCAAGAAACTCAGGATTATTTTTTTCTTGCAGAATGGTTCTGCTTAGTATTGTTTGACTAGCGAAAATGGAACTTTATTGAGCTCTTAATGCAGGAAAAACTCTAGCACCCTGTTCAAGGCTCAAGAGTTTCCTATTGTGGCTTGGTAAGAAGATTAGATTGTCTTTGACTTTGAATGAATAAGGTTAGCTGAAGTTGGAAATTCCATCTCTGCTGCTTCTGACTTAGAGCAATTTTATTGCTGTGGTGGACTGGGGACAACACATTAAGAAATAGGTAGCAATTAATTAGATGATACTCTGGCTAACATAATAAATGAAATGTATAATTTCTAAAAGTATCTTTTTTTTTTAATTCCCTGTGAGAAGAGAATTCCACAGGGATGTGTGTAACAAGTACACTTGGAGCGGGCAGTTTTTCAGTTCCACTTGTTAACTTCATAGCAGTGTGCTTCACTGACTTGGCAGTCGGATGTTTAATGATGACTCTTGTTTATCTGGGTCATCTTAAGTGTATCTTGAGAGCATTCCTTTGAAATGCTCTGGATGGAAATAAGGGAATTATTTTTTTGACCTTGCATCTTGCATCAGCTGCTGGGCAAAGCCAAATTAAATGTCTCATATTAGAAATGCTTTAGTGCATTAGCTGGGTAGTGACGCTAGGCACATACAGAAGTTTTTCACATATAGAAGAAGTTTGCTTGGAATACTTTGCTTATCATACAGTACATTTCTCTAGAGTGTTTTGGCACATGAGTTCTAGTGGGGTAGCTAATTTATTTTTAGTTTAAATGGAGATACTCTGTAGTGGTTGGCAGTCTTTAAGCCCTCTCAGCTGGTTTGTGTTCAGTTTCTGAGATTCTTTTCGGTTTGCCTGCTGTCTCGCTGGATCTCAGTTGTTTTCTTGTGAATTAGTTACTTTCCAGTTTTGTTCTTGCCACATTCCTAGCAAAAATAGGGAATTCAAAAGAATAGAGAAAAATTAGTTTCTCGCTCTTTAGTAACTGAAGCAAACTCAAGTGTTTTCTATTTGGAGCGTGGAAGCAAAATTAACATCTATGCTATGGCTTCTTCCAAGAGGTGTCAGAATATTTCATTATCAGTTTTTTTGTCTCTTGTCTTAACAAGTGCTGTATTGTAACCTTTGGTTTGTTATTAAAAAGCCACGTTTCAATTGTGCAAGTGTATTCTAGTCACTTATTTTTGCAAGGAAATTAGCATAAAGGCAAGTACATGTGTGTTAATAAAATCATATTTTTTTAAGAACTAGGATTTTTATTAATGATTTTAGAATGTTGTATGGTACTTAACTTGGTTTTGAAATAGATGAAACAGAAGGACTGGGTAACATGGAAGTTACAATGATTCCCAATATCAGGGGAAAAAAAAAGTTGTAATTTATTTTTTTAAATTCAGCTATAGTTAGCTATACTTCTGTTCTGCTGAGGGTTATCCATATCTTAAGAAATATAGATGCATATGATATCTTTTTGCAGATTTCAATTGTTCTACTCAAGTGTTGAAAATGTTAGCACTGAAAAAGTTGAGATTGCTTTTAGTTTATAGTTCTGTGATGATTTTATTAAATAGCCAGAATATGGGAAGATCATGACTGCTGCATTTGGAAATCAGAAATGTAAAACTCTTTTTTTTTTTTCTCCCCTCTAGATTTTCAACTGAATTCTCATCTATCAACTCTGGCAAATATTCACAAGATTTACCACACCCTCAATAGGCTGGTAATGACTTGCCATTTTCTCTTAGCAGAATAGCTAAGGCTTTGGTCCAGAATATTTCATGATTGAAATCATTAAGTGATTACACTTCTAAAAATTATAACTGCCTTGTTGTATGAAAGGCTGTTGGGTTTGAATTGGTGAGGAGATAAGCACTATTAGTAAAAGGTGAAAGATGATACTCCTGAGGTCAGAGTGGAGTTTGAACTTTGAACATTGGATTTAGATGTTGCCTCATACAAGAAGCTTTCTTGGATACATTAAGTGATGGTAATCATCATAGTTACCCAGTTTCTTGCAGTTCTTCTGGAAAACATATTGAATGAGCAAGCTGTCCTTTTACACCCATGCAAAAAGTGAAACAAGGTTTTTGTGAAGACTCTTCCTGCTTATGTGCTGTGCATTTACATTTGTTTTATTGCAACTATAGCTGGAAATTGTGATGCGGCTTCTGTGTGTACACTGTAAATTTAGTGGAAAAGACCCTGCCTGAAAAAGGGGGTAAATTCATTTCCAATGTTTCAAATGGTTTTTAATCAGTTTCCTTTAGAACACATATGTATGTTTATCCTTAAGCAAAGCCATTTCTGTGCTAAGTGGTAAATTCAGTCTTTCTAATGCTGCATTTATTGGAGGAATTATTCAGTAAAATAATGCCAATTCCTCACCTGATGGGTAATTATTTCCACTCTTGAAATAATTTGATATGGTTTTGATTGAAAAAAAACCTCAAAAATATTAATCAAATTCAATTTACTTGAACTTTTTAGATAAATGTGTAAGTGTAACTTTTTAGGTAAATATGAGCTGAAAACACGAAGTCTACAATCTTAGGTAGATGATCCTTAAGTAATTAGGATGATATTACTGTCAAGTAAAAGTTAAAAATAGTACAGAAGAATGAAGATCACTGTCTTGTTTAACTGTGTCGTTCCTGTTTCTTGCAGAATCTGACAGAGGACGTTGGTCAAGACGATCACCAGACAGGTATTTAATAGGGATGGAGTAAAAATAGATGGAAACAGTTCAAACATGCTTTATTAAGCAAGTCTCTCTATCATAACTGAAAATGATGTTTTAGAATGCTAAAGGAATTTTAGGAAACAAGTGTCTGGGTTTCTTAGTTTTTTTCAAAATAGGTGTTTGTGCTTTTAATTCATTGAATTATGAAGGACTTGAACAGGTATCAGCAGTATCTGTAATTTTACTGTCTCTTAGTTTAGAAGACTTAATAAAATATTCCTCTCACTCCTGGGACTCAGCCTGATGGGCCACAGAATATCTGTGTTCTTACAGTGTTTTGAGTCTTGAAAGAGCATTAGTGAGACCAGAGCAGAAGCAAAACCTCTTCTGGCTGTTGTGATACCTGTGACTGAGTTTAAATGCTGTGCTCCAAACAACCAGCATTTTTCTTGACTGGTTCTGATGCAGGTTATTTCTGTTTCTTGTGCAGATTTTCAGTCAGTGTCTGAGTACTATCTATTTTTGAGTTCATATTTGTGTTTTGTTCTGTGAAGTGTCATCATTTTTTCAGGCCTTCTTCTCAGGTGCCTGATACCAGCTTCCTGTCGTTCTTGATTTGTCAGCATTTGAGCTTTGTGACTTGATGTTTTGCAAGGGTTCTTACCTCCTTTTGCACTGCCTTCAAGCCCTGATCACTCACTCAGCAGAACTGTTCTTCAAAACTGACCATTGTCTATCCAGCCATCTGACTCAAAGCTTTTTCACTGTCCTGAGGTGATGGCTGTATTTGCTGGCGTTACCTTGAGCATTTAGTGAAGTGGAGAGAGCTGACAGCTCCTCCTGGAGATTTCTGCCACACACTTACAAATCTAGCACACTCAGCCTAGAGCAATGAGAAGAGATTCATAGGACTGCATTGCTTGGGATTGGACAGAGCTCACTTAGGGATTATGCACCCTCCTCTATACAGCAGCAGGTCACTTTGTTTCAAGTTTGAACTCTTCTTACCCTACCCACAAAAGGCTTCCCTGAAATACTTTCCTTCAGTGTGGTTAGTGATTTGATACTTGAAATTAACTCATTATGTAAATGAAAAGCCTCTGAAAAAGAGCTTATGACCAATAGTTGAAGACAGTTAGAGATTTTAATGTCCATAATTTAGAACTGATGTCCTCTCCCATCTTGTGATGGAGACTTGGAATTTTTTCCTGTGTGTCCCAGGTGCTCTAAACTGATATCTAAGCTTCATACTGATTTCCTGTATGAAATGTGTTCATTAATCTTTGTGTACTTTTGATCACCAAGACCTGTTGTGAAGCATTGAGGTAGTCCCCTTCTGTCACTAATCAGTAAGTGGTGATGTACTTGAGGTGTTTGGAATTTGTCTTACCTCTTGCCTAGCACTTCTGTTATAAAGTATAAGAAATTAACCTTGGTGCTCTCATTACCTGTATTGGAAGGTGCTTGAGCACATTACCATCAGTGTCGGTACAAACCTGTTCATCAAAGCCAGTATCCTATTGCCTGCACACTGTTGTTTGAATTAAGCTGTTTCAAAAGTGTAAATGTGCCTGTTGAATGAGTTGGGACACAAAATCCCAGTAAAGGGTGCAGTTTTTTTGCAATAACTGTAAAACCTTTCAAACCAGAAACAAATATGGAATGAGAACCACAAGTAAAGATTGATAATGCCAGGTTGCCTCCTCATCTTCAGATATTATTTCCACTATTTCTTATGCTTCTGCCCTGTTTTATGTCTCCTTGTAGGAAGAGATGAAGCCCAAATGTTTGCATAAGTTCCAGGCATGTTTAGTTGAAATGTGTGTTTGGTTTTTTACTCATATGAGGACAAATACACATGCAAGGAGCTCTTTTGGCCCTCATGAATGTAGTACAGTGAGGTCTTCTGTTTCCGTTTTGTATGGAACTTGACACTTCTCAAACATCTTACTTGGAGAGACTGGCATAAATCTATAAAGTTACTTTTGAAAAATGTTTGATTTCAATGTGCCTAAACTTGTGGAACTTCTGTTTTCCAGTAAGAGGTTGTCAAGACCTATTAATTTTGTTGCACAATTTATAGAACTGTACAGGTGCTGTAAATTGGAGATTCTGTGTCTAGAACTCATTTGAAAGTCAGATTAAGAACTGTTGCAAAAGGTTTTAGTGTTGCCAAACCCATGTCAAGGTTTTTTATAGTTCTGAGATTATTTTAACCCTAAATCTTCTGACCCGGGCCTTATTCTTAAAGATTGCTGTTCATTTTCTGACATTTATTATCTGAGTTATTGTCATTAGGTTGTGGACTTTGTTGTTGGGATGACCTAATGTGTGCTTATGTAAATTGGATTGGGATTTCTAAAAGCTATTTTAAAAAATCTTAGTTTTAGGTTAATATTTATTAATAATAGTGTTAAGTTTTAAATGCGTATCACATTTACTTCAAAGCAGTTTTTGTAAGCTAACAAAAAATGTATTGGATGTCTAAATTACTTAGAAGCAAATTGTATCTTTTCTAAGTATTAGCCAGATTGCCTGTCTGAAACCAGGCCCTAAAACACCAGTGAACTACAGGGAAGTGTCAGTTTCAGAATTCCTTCAGTGATTTGAGAGCTAAAATTAATCTTGTTTCAAAATTCTGGTCCCCTGCAACGATTGCAGTCTCATGTGCTATAATTCAGTATGCATATCTGTCTGAAAAATAAGATAGACTTCAACTGTGTCATGGGCTTTGCCTTTTCACCTGTTTGTAGGTGTAAGAACAGCAGGCATTCAGATTCTGTAAACAATTTCTTTTTCTTTTAGTATGTATATGCATTAACTTGGAAAACTTACATTGGAAATAATAGTTGTTTTTCTGTTATAACTACAAATCTAGCAGCTTGTTAACAGCTTGAAGTCATGATTTGGTAATTAAATTGTGACTTACTTATCCAGACTAAAAAGTCTTTAAAATATGCTTCTTGTTGTCACCTGGCTTGTTTAGAACAGGGAGGTACCCTCTTCAACAAAAAGAAGGCTTCATTGTGGTTCATTAATCTTTGGAGGGAGAGAAATTGCTTTTGTCTCTGCTGGTTTTTTCTTTTGTTAGGTTAGAGAAGAAACCCCTCTTGAGTCCAGAGTAATTCTGTAGTGTAGCATTCAAGACAGAGAAGATGATTTTTCCTTTTGCAGTGGCATTGCAAGTTGTTTAATGTTTTGATGAGTATCTTCGCTTTCTCATCTTGTATCTGAAAACTGATGATTGTAGCTATGCTTGTGGTCGTTTTGTTGCATTATTAAGTGATCAGCTGTATCTTCCCAATTGCTTCAGCATTCACAGTTTCTAATTATTTTTCCTTTGAAGCATCCTTCTACTGAAGCATCAGAAGAGCAGGATTCCTCACGGGCTTTAGCTAGAGAAGGTGAAAGTGCCATGCCTGTAAATAATTTCCGTAGGGACACAGCTTGTAGAGTTCTTCTTTATTGACTTTTTTTTCTTTATTCTGGTTTTGTTGCTATTCTAGGGCTGTCCCTCTCTTGTGGGTTTTATTTTATTTATTGTTTTCAATTTCCTAGGATAAATTTTAGCTCTTGAATTGATACTTCCATTTGGAAGCTTTGTCTCCTGCAAATTTGGAAGTATTCAATAGGGTGTTTGGCAAACAGCATTTAAACTTGACAGACTTTTGGCTGGTGGTGGTCTATTCAGCAGCCATTTGGAGGCTCTACCTTGCAAATGCTAGCTTCAAGTGTCAAGAAACCAGTGAGAACTAGGAGGGTTCTGCCAATCTTGAGTTGAGGCCTAGGAGTGAGAAACTTTGAAGATAATCACATCAGCAAAGCTGCACTTGGTAAGTAAAATTCTGTCAAATTTACATGTAGTCAGAGGTAGCTGCATGTTTGTTTGCAGATGGTCAGACCTTTGGGAAGAGAAATTAAATGTGCACTGCTAGACCTAAAATTACTTTTAGAATTAGAAAGCTCTGTGTAGGAAAGGTTAATATTGCTATTTAGTGAGCTGTATTGTAATTTAAGAAATTGCAGGAGTTCAAAGTAAAAAAATCCAATTTAATAATTTTTAGCTTTATATGAAAATTAAAGAAATATTGTGCTGCTGTTACAGAGAAATTATAACGGCCCTTCAAATTTAATACACCAATTTTAGTAACAAAAGAAATACTTTGAAAGTAAAATCCTTACACTGTGTTTTTTAGTAGTTTAGAGATTATTCAAAATCTGAAGTTTAGTGAAGACTTGCTCCAAACCTCCGTTATTAAGATGTTAAGTCTTGGAAAGCATTTACAATATGTCCACTTGGTGTCTGTGTGCTGTCAGTGTGTGAGGGCAGTGTATGTGTGCATTTCAACCTACCAGTTTCTGAGCTGTCTCTTTTCTTCCCTTTTCTGTGCCTTTGAGAGCTGCAACTAGATACATTCAAACCAAAAAGAATACAAGTTTTTCATAGGAGTCATTGGAGAAATTGGGTTGTGTAGTGAATTGTGATCAGTTTAAGCCTTTAAAGCAAGTTCACCAATCTTCTTAAAAACATCCTGTCATTTAAGGAGGCAAAGAGTCCAAGCAGGAATTCTTGAGTTAAGTTCTTTGGTTTGTATGAGGTTGCAGGTCTGACATAATGATTTCTCTGTTCTATAACTGCTTTATTTTACATTTATTTGTTTTTTCTCTTTTGCTCTGCTTCTTTTGTCACAGAGGCCTTGCATATTTCTTTTCACAATCAACTGACCAGTAAACTGCACAAATTTGTGGGGAGCGAAGGGGATGTGTATTTTTTTCTTGCATTTTACCAGCATCCAATGCCTGTGTCCATCACAAATGGATTTTTACTTTTTTAAAAGAAAGGCACTTAAAAGCAATCTATTTGCTCTCGAAGGAATGAGATAGCTACAGGTTATACTTAAGTAAATTCATATTTACCAAAAAGAGGTGTTCACTATCACATTTTCATTTATTAAGTTCATTGTGTGTCTTAAGTCTGTTGGCTCTTTCTAGCCATCTGTTTAGTTCTGCTGTCATCCTAGGGGGTTTTAGTCTGTGTAGGCTTTCAAAAAATACTTACTGGCAGAGTCTTCAGAAATTTGATCTGAAAGATAAAGTATTGCAGGCTCAATAACTTATGAGAGTACTGTTTTACAATATCATTAATGTGGAGGCATAACTTGATGGAACAAATGACATTCAGCAGGTCAGGTTCCTTAGTTTGTAAAATGCCTTGGGTGTACTCTGAGTTTTTTATCATCTCTGGCTTACCTGTTTCAAATATATCTGATATTGTTGAGGAGAAAATAATTACTATTGTCACTAATTTCCTTTTGTAATGTGTTCTGGACAGTGCTTCTAGAAGTATGTTCTTCTGACACAGCCATTACGATTTTTTTTGTGGTAATAGTTTATGGAGCATAATACTTGCAAGTTTTTTGATTATTAGTTGAATTGTAATTTGAATTTACAATGCTGTTAATTCTCTTTCAAAAAGACAGTGTATGGCCTTACTCTCCTAGGACAGTAATGGGGAGGGAGTTTTAGGGTTAAAAAAAAGAATATGTATAGGAAGAATTTTTTTAATTGGAGACTATTTCTTGAACTAGAGAGATTAATTTTCTTCTTAATAGATAGAAGTGAATATAAAGATAAGACCAAAGAAGGCATACTTAGTGCAAAAGCTTTATTAGTTGAAACCAGATTAGTTCATCTTGGTGTAAAAATTTAGTTGAACATCTTATGTAATACTAGAGAAATATGAACATAATACTAGAGAAATATGTACTTTCTTATGGGTTAGAATTTCCATGCATATTTAAATAATGTACATGTAGCAAAGCCTGTGAGGCTCTAAGATTCCTTACATGTGTTTCTCCTATAACAGGAGAGAGCCTTTCAAAGATTCGAAGAATAGGTAAGCAAAAGATTGCTGTCAGTGTTTGGTGGGAATTTGGCCTCTGATTTCAGTCTGTTCCCTTGGTGTCAAAAAGCAGTCAAAGTTTTATTGCTTGCTTCTGTGCTGTGATGTTGTAAGAGAAAAGATTTTGTGGGCATCTTAACTGAGCGTAGCTAAACTTGGATGCTGTTGTAGCAAAGAGAAGATAGCTTAGGAATGCTGGAGTTCTTAATGTTTTCTTGCAAATTTCTTTGGCATCTCTTTGTGTCTGGATTGTTATACCTCACTTCTCTCTTCCTTTTCTTTTCAAATTCTCTGTGTAACACTTAGAGGTGTGATAGCTCTTGGAGCTGCTGTTACACACACCTTTCTCAGGTGTCACTGTGGTCTTCAGCACATGAAAGTAGGACAAAATTGTGCCTGGAGTGTTAGCCTACTGTTTCATGAGGCAGCAAAAGCAATTTAATGACTTGGTGTGGTCAAAAGGGATGGTCCTGTGCTCTTTCTTGTGCTAATGTACAGAAAGTTGTTATTCTTTTTTCCTTGGTTAATTATCTACAGGTTTGGTGAGCTGAATTGGCACACAGAAGAGTTACCAGAGACAGGAGTATGTAGCTGAGAGAAGGGGATGGAAAGACTGCCACCTGATTGGGATCAGTGTCAAGAATTGGCTATTTCCTGTTTGGGGACCTTCATTTTTTTGAGAACTGTTCAGTGCAAATAATACAGCCAGCCACTTATTTCTTTCCCTGGTGGCTGCTGACTGTCTCTACCTGTCCCTGTAAAACAAAACAAAAAACCTCACAAGAAACCTGAAAAAAAAACCCCTCACCAATGAACAAACAAAACCTTTCCTACCTCTTGCTCTCTGTATCACAAAAAACTTGAGGCTTGAAAATAAAGTGCTGTTTTCTAGAGGTAGGTGTTCACTCATATCTGTATTTCAAAAAGCAATGATCAGCTCTTAGAACTTTTGATTTGAATAAAAGACTAAAAATAAGGATGACTTTTTGGGGACCTAAACACCTCTTTAGGATAGTGTCAGTTCTTGACTGCTGTTAGACTGAAACAATGCCAGTGCTACTGTGCATTTTGCTATAGTACTTTTGACCTTAATAGAAATCTGGTCATAGGAAACCGTGTAAAGCTGAGATGGATTTTGCTATTCAAAGGAGACTGTTTCTTTTTTAATTTTTAAATCCCCTAACTTCCTTCCCTTTTCATTTGTAATATGCCTATTAGTGGACACAGTTTAACTGGTCTGCAACAGTTTCATTTCTTTGTGCTGGTGTTTTTAATTCCCTCTGTAGGAAGTCTTCGGTCTTGCAGTTCATCAGACTGCTTTAGTAAAGTGATGCCTCCAAGGAAAAAGAGGAGACCTGCAGCAGGAGATGATTTATCTGCTAAGAAAAGTAGACATGATGGGTATGTCATCTTACCATGAGCTAAGACTGATGGAATATCTAAAGTTGAAGAGCTGATATATCATGTGTTTAAATACTAATGGAAATAATATTGAAATTTACTTGGTTTCTCAGTGTGGAACCATAGCTGGTGATTGAACTGTGGGATATTGATAAGTATATGTAGCTTCAGTTTGCATCTCACCTTTCTCTAGACATACAAGAAGCATGTAGGCAACTTTTCCTTGCTCTAGTTGCCAGCTATGAAGATATGTTCTTGTTTGTTCAAAACCAACTTCTAAGAGATACAGTACTATTTTCTCATATACATGCATAAGGTCTAGATTGGCTGTTATCAATCTCTAGCCTGTCAAAAAAGGGAATGTAGTTATAGACCACAGCTCTTAAAGTCCTGCTAGTCTCTCCCTGTTATGTTGTGATTTAACCCTGAACATAGAAGGGAAATTGCCCAGCTAAGGTGGCAGCCAGTGTTTCAACAGTTACTGAGGGGCTTCTCACTGGACAGCAGAAGCCAAACAGGTTAAAGAGAGTGCATGAGCAGTGTACTCTGTTGGCATGATAGCTGAGATCTCTGCAAGTAGTGGATTTCCAGTAGTGTAGTGAGTCATTTAGAAAGCATTGAATGTGCTCAGGGTGTGCAAAAATCACTATTTATGTGGACTAAATTCAGAACTTGAGGCTGTATAGAACTGCACACTCCTGCATGATAGATGCAGGACTGCTGTGATGTTGAATAGTGGCTTATACAACTGGAAAGTTTGCTTGGCACTGCATCAATCAGTAGAATTTGAGCTCTATTATACTCATGTGTTACTGACATCCCAGAAAACACACACTTCCATGGCAGGTACCTTCAGGGAGGTTAAAAGAGGCATTTTTCTCCAAACTGTCAGCCTGAAATCAGCCTAAGTTCTCTCCTTTTTATACTCTAGCATGAGTAAGAAAAATACTGGTAGCCAAATTAGGCCTCTGGTCATGCCCCTATAACTCCATTGTGTTTAATAGGGTTGCACAACTGTAACTGCACTGGAATTTATTAAATGATCTGTTGATGCAGAAGAAAGAGATTTCAACTCTCTTTCATTGCATTGTAACACTAACTAGAACAAAAAAGCTGTTCATGTCCTTAATATTTTTTGTTCCTTTTCAGAAATAATGAAAAATAAAAGGTAAATAGTTGATAGAGGGCATTACAGGTTATTCACAGATAGGCATACAATGTGGAAGCAATACAAAGACAGACCCTTTCTAGAATATAGAGAGATTCATAAAACTGGGCACTACCTACCTTAGCCAAGACACTGATGATGGAAAAAAGCAACCCCCTAAAAAGTAAGCTTGCATATAAGTAAGAAATACTGGTTTGTGTAATTACCTAAGAAAATTATAAAAACCTGATTTTTTGCTCTCTGAATACTGGATATTTCATCATTTTTAAGAGCTTGTTGCAAATGTAATTTGAAGGATTTGTTATTATCTGCCTCTCAGTTTATAACTAATGGATCTAGTCTTCATTTTACTGCCATGTAAGTCTTTATTAAAGGGAAGATCTCAGCCTGCTTTTAGAATTGGAGGAGAAACCAGATCTGCTAGTCATGAGCCATGGGGTAATATCCTCTGATGTGGTTCCAGTTTTTATCTGACTGACTTCCTATAAAGGTTTTTGAGCTTTCTCTGTTTTCCAGAGTGTTTATTTTGTTTCTGTCTTCAAGAAAACAGTTTTTTATTTCAGCATGACTGGCAATATGAAATTATTTGCTGGACATTCAGCCTGGTCTTGAAGTTGTATTTTCTTTCAAGGAAGAATTTTTACCCCTGTAATCTTCTTGAATGAGTTAGTCAAAGCACAGTCTCCTACTTCCATGCTTGTTTTGGTCAGGTGGAGTTCATACCTGCCAAGTTTAGTTTTTGGATCAGACATCTCAGTTAGCTGAGCAGAAATCAGTCTGAAATTAGGAAACTCTGCAGCAGTGTTCTGTAGCATGCCTAGTTTACAAAGCCAGTTCTGCTTACATTGTGTGCAGAGAATGCTATATACAGTAAAAAGAGTATAGTGGAATACAGGTTTATAGAATAAGGGTCTCCTAGGCCCAGTTCTCAGCTTCTGTTTTAGAGACATACTTCTTAGAAGCTGCATTCTAGTAACTCAGGATAAGCCTTCACAGGACATTAGTTTGTGTGGATTCTGTATTAAGTGAAGAAAGGAGGTCACTGAAGAGCTACACATTCCTCTCCAGAAGAGCCCCTCTTTCCTAACAGAAGTGAGTTGTCACTTCAAATGCTTAATGGAATGACATACATTTTTGGGTGTTTCTCAGCTACAGTGGCATACTTACAGGGTCAACATTAACAAATTCAGTCATTCAAAGTCTTCTGTTTGTTCTCAGTGGAAAAATACTGGGTGGTAGTCCAAAGATTTTCAAGGGATGTCATCATTAATGGTGTTACTGCAACTGAGACTGAAGGTTGATGATTTTTTCTGATTTGTCCATTATAAAAATGTGGGGTTTTTCAATCTGTAATGGAGTGCTTTGTTGGGTGATATTTTCAGTCTTCACTAATTTTTATTCATTCCTATAATCTCTTCAAATCTGATAGGAATATTTTTAGATATGCCTTCTTCCATAAAGTTTCTTTCAGCAGGCCTCTATGCTGAAAGAGAAGATAGTTTCTAAAGACTCTTCCAGTTATAAACCTAAACATGTCTTACACCCTTAATTTCAAGCTGGTAGGAATACAGCCTCATCTCAGAAGTACTAGTGGAATGCACAGGCAATCGAGGAAAAACATTTATAGGAAGCCATCTAGTTGTGAAATTATTTGGAAATGCTGATCTAGTGCATAAACTGATTAGAAGACTCCAAGCATGTTCATTAGTATTGCATCCTTACATAATAAGAACTTGAATTCTCTTAATTAGTGTTTCTAGCATCACCATGAACCATGCATGAATGCAGCGTTTCAGTGGGAGGAAATTTTTATACCAGATGACGAATAATAAAAAGAACTCAATGCTCTGTAGATAACAGTAAGAGTTATCTTGCCTTAAAGAATAGCTGTTGGAAGTAAACAGTTGAGCATGTGCTAACTTGAACATAATCACTTGAAGACTTTGTTTGTATTTTCATCTCAGTATCAGTCTTGACTTTATTGTACTTAAAGCTGTCACAGTATAGAGTATTCCCAAATTGGAGTTAAAATTACATTTTCTGTACACTGTTCTTCCATCACTATGTTAAGCATCTTCAGAAAGGTAAAGCAAGATTCATGTAAATATACTTGCTAGGTAAAATGATAGTCCTCACTGGGTAATCGTTTTATGCTGCTTATCTGTTACACCATATCTAGCCAAATAGGGAAAAATGAGCTGTTTAATATAATGTCTTATGTTTTGACAATCTCATTTAAAAAGTAATTCTACTCCTTATTCTGGAATCACACTGAGGGCAAAAGCCTTGAAATAATGGGTATTGTCACTTTAGGAGGATGAAAACTAGGAATATTTACCTACTTCCCTAAAATTTAGGTTTTCAAACAATTAGATAAATGTTTTCAATGAATTTACCTTTATGTGTGTAGGAAGCACAAAAGGGCCTACTCACATGAAAAATAGGTTTTCTCTATTGAATCGTAAACTCCATATTCTGTGTGGAAAAATGCAGTTTTTGAAAACAGAGTGTCATTAACATAAGATGTACTAACTTCCAAAGTTTTCAAAACCTTTGGTGTTGAGAGTTGGTTTGGTTTTTGTTCTGCTGTTGTTTACTATCTGGTTAGGTCCTGCCCCATGCAGACCACCTGTGTTCCCAGCTGTCATAGATGTGTAGATCTTTTTGCTTGAAGTAGGGGTTTTCAGGAACACACAAGCATAATTTTTCCTTTTTCTATAGCTTTTCAGTGCACTTCACTTAAACTGGACATGTGACTATCAGCATGTGTGTTGTTACACATACTGCTCATTAAGTAAGCCTGATAAAGTTCCAAACATTTAACAGTTTAGGAGTGATTGTAAGTCTTTAAACAAGGAGACATAAGGTATATTCATTCATAAAACTTAGCAGTCAAGTTAGTCCTGAGGGTTGCTTTAAACTGTTTTTGTCATGTCTTGTAAATTGCAAAACATCCCTTCTCCCACCCTTCTGTTTCTACTGCAGATTTTATGAAACTATTGCAGAATCATAATTGTGGGTGAATAGATAAGGCTTTATTAAAGTATGTTCATTGTGCTGCATTGATGAAAATTCTCAGCCAAAATTGAAAATTAATTAGTATTAATGGAAGTAGTGTGGGACATCTTCTTCAATCAAAAATTGGCATGTTTTGAAAAAAAAATGTTATCTGGAAGCAATTAGTTACTTAGCTCAAAACTCAAACAAAATTCAGTAAAGATTTTGACTAAGTTCTGGCTGCTTAGAAACAAAGTTCTCTTGGTGAATTTCTTGATGTCTTCATTCAGTAAGCACTGACCTTCTGAAATAACCAGGCTGTACATCTTCATGAGAGACTTTTGACTTACCATAATAAAGCATAGCTTTTTTTCCCCTTCCCTTTTGATCTTCTTTTTCCTCTTCAGTGGATTATTACCAGCTTCCACCATGAAGAGAATGTTTTGTGTGACCTAAGCTCCATGTTTTCACTGATCTTGGTTGGAATATTCTGGAGGTACACAGCCCAGAGTTGGTGCGCTGATAGGGGCTGTGGCTGGAGCTTTAACCAGCTCCAGTACAAGTGAAACATGCTCAGAGCAGCAGATAGCCCAGCTTTGAGGACTGCAGTGGGTTGAAGAGAATTGCCCTTACCTTGTTCTTTTTGCTGGCAGCAGCCATCAACTTTTACGGTCACTTGCCTAGTCACCTCATTAAAGTTGGATGGAACTTTCATGCTTTTGTTTTCCCACCAAATTAGTTAGGAAGAGAAGAAGATAATCTGGAAAAGATGTGGACAATGTATTTAAAGTTCCCACAAAGTGTGAAGTGCCTCGACACTCAGTTTTAATTTTTTTTGGTGGTTGTTGATGCTTGCCTATAGTACTTCCAGTTATAAACTACATTGTCTTATCTTTTTTGCTGGTATATTACAGTTCCCTAGCTCGCATGAATATTTCATATATATGTTTGAACATGGATGTTATGAGTCAGCCATTAGGTCACGGTGGAGGCGCAAGCATCTCTGAGAAAATTATTACATTTTGATGTGGTTAAGTAACTGAAATCACTTTTACAGAATTTGGACAGGTTATGTCATGTTGCTTTTGCCCTGCCCTGTCCCACATTCTTTCCTCTCTCTAGCTGATGAAATGGCTGTTAGAAAGAGATAATAATTAAAAAAAAGAACAACCCTAAATGCTCCTTACAGGGATATTTGTTACAAATAACTTGTATATTGCTGTCACTGACACAGTGTCATGCTAAACTAAAAAAAAAAAAAAAAGCTATTTTTCAAGAAGATTTTTCTGAGTTATTGTACCTACATGTGTGTTTCATCTTAGAGGTAAATACAAACTTAGCCTGTAAGTAATACTTTTTTTTTCCTGTTGCTGATGGATATTCCCGTCATGAGTCAGAAATGGAAGGGTAATTCTAAAGGCAAATGTTCTGAGTTTGGTATTGTATGGTAGTGATGGATGTAGCAAACATTCTGGGATAAAACTGTGCTTGCACCTTTCTAACTGATGATGGAGAAAATGCCCTTAGCAATCCTGTTTCGGTGCCAGCATTCTTTGGCAGTGTGCAAATTCTAGTACCAAAAGTGCCAGGTGTATTCATTTGCTCTTCCTCTATGGAAGGCATCTTTTTGAGTTTTTTACTTTTCCCCTGTGCCTTGCCTGCTCTCACCCTTCCCTGCCCCCCCCCCTTTTTTTTTCTTTTTTTTGTGAGCAGTGTGTTGTTTCACATCTGGTGTGTGATTGACACTTTGCTGGCAGTTTCCCTTGACTGGCAGTTTCCTTTTACAGACCATCGATATAGAAGCAAATTACTAAGCAGAACGGGGTTGGCATAATGGTTGTGCATCTGTTTAAAAGTACTGGTGCTGGTCATCTTGATGAAGCTGTGAGCCATTGACGACTTGCTGTTTGTGAGATCTGTTCATTAGATGTTTGGTACTCCCAAAGTATTCAGATATCTACCCTGTGCACTCTGGCAATGTGTTTTTCTGCATAGCAAGAGATACTGTCATTAGAACAAAGACAAGGCACATCATCTTGCAGAAAATACTGAGAAATTCCACAGAGATGAGGAATACTGCAAGATATAAAATGGATGCCAGATGTGTCTGGAAGTTTGTGTTTTTCTCCTCTGTAAATATGGTTCTTGAGGTAATCAAATCCATATTCATCATAATTCAGGGGATGTAGTCCTTGAAAAGAGCTTTACTCTGTGCCACTGGATTGAACCAAGTTGTCCTAGGCTGAGTAATCTCAGGTACTTGTCTACTTGTTTGCATCTCCCCACTCATCTTGTTTCCCTAGGCACTTCAGAGATTAGGAGTCTCTTGCTAGTAGGAGTAGCTGGCTTGGCTAGGCTGGGGGGAGACTCTCATTTAATGTTTGGAGTAAGCAGGGAAAGAAAAGGGTTTGTCTTTATACATGAGATCATTAATTCTGGCTGTGCATAGTCTGTTTTCATTATCAACGTGATACAGGGTCATCTGCACTGTTAATGCATGTCTGACTAATTAGCTTATAGCAGAAATTGGGATAATATTTCAAGATTGTATCCCTTTTGACTTTATTTTCTGAACTTGTCAACTGGCACAAGCTGGAATATCTGTAGTCAGTTCTGATTTTTCAAAAATCAAACTCCAGTGGTGGGGTATTGAGCTTTTTGAACAATCATAAGTTTGAGGCAAGACCATTTTCATTGGAGTTACTTGGCCGTATGTTGGGCACATGGACTTAATTTATTATTGCTGTTTCCTGCAGTTCCTGAACTGTGACCTTAGCCCTTAAGACAAGTGACTTGCAATCTCATATCAGTTGTCTGAAATTCTTCTGCTATGTGCAGATACAGAGAATGTATAAAAAGGGCTGTTTTTTTCTGTTCTTGCTCACCATTCCTGTTTCCATACTGCTGGCACCGATGTCTTGTTTCAGGCTGCAGTATCTAGCTCTGCCATTTGTAGATGCAGGATACCTTTTTTTCTAAAATACCTGAATGACTTACAGCTCTGTCAATAAGTCTGTTTCTTGAGAGTTCCTTCTTAAATGCACTGTTTGCATACTGACAGCTTAATGTGTTGATGACTTACATGAACAAGCAGGGCAAGACAATTGGTTATCATCCCTTTGTAAGAAAAAGCATTGAGTCTTGTGATAAATAACTTTCTTTGTGAACCTTGTTAGCTTTGCCATGTCTTCAATCCCAGCAGTACTTTTACAGACTTCTTGAATAAAGAGAATAGAATAAAGATGTTGACTAGCTCCTGCTACAGTTTCCAACTTGTATTCTACTTGGTGTTTGTCACGTTTGTTTGTGACAAAAAAGGGGATACTGAATAATTAAGACTTTTGCCGAAGTGGCAGAATGCCTCCTTTCTTTGTCTTGATTGCTCTGAATTCAGAGTACTCTAAAAATTATTGGATAGGTCTTTCGTAATCACAGTTCATTTTGCAAATGTAAAAATGTTATCAGACCTATTTAAAAAAATTTATTCCAACTCAGTCTTATACCTTCTGGATTAGCTCTTACTGAGCGATGCTGTCAGCCTTTTCCTTTGCAGCTTCAGTAAAGCTTATGCAAAATAGATAATTCAAATAGGAAAAGAGTGTTTTCAAAATGAAAAAACCCCAAACCTAAAATTGTAAGTAGATGAATGTGTTTGGAACACATATGGCTGACATTTCTATGCAGTGTTCCAGTTTGTTGTAGTTCGGTGTGTTTCAGTACAGTGTCAGTTTTTCATAAGAAATTTCTTAAGAGCCTCATTTGTATTTTTCTTCCAATTAGCAATTTATCATTTTGTTCTGACTAGTATTACTTTTCTAAAGGTTAGCTGCTTTTAGGGAACTATGACAGTAAACATGAAATATTTCTTTGAATTCCTGTCAGAATGATCTGTGTGCTGTTAAATTCTAGCTACGCTTCCTCACAGCTGATAGCTGAGCTAGGTGGAGGATAGTGAGATCAGTGTCTTCTAAGCTCCTAAATCTAGGTGTCTTTTACATGTCTTTCTAGAAGGACAAAACAGTGATGAAGTCAGCTCTAAATTAATTTCAATATTTAAATGGTTTCAAAATTCTCCTTGAACCAGTTAGCCACTTCATTGTCTTCCCCCATCAGGATTTGACATTGTGAGAGGAAAGTCTGCATGCTTGGAACACTTACAGAGCTGTTCTTGGCTAGCTCCTCTAGACTAAACCATTTATTTGTTGCTCTTTTCAGCCTTTGAGCCCATGCTCTGAAGAGTGGTGGAAATGGATCAGAGAATGCGAATGCAGCAGTGGATAACTACTTGGACTGCTGAGTCTCTTTCCTCTAGCAGACACAAATGATATTGTGCCTGTTTCAGAAGGTCTAACTGAGGGAGTGACCCTTCACATTCTGTCATGTTCTCTGTGCTTTAGGTGCTTCAGATAGTAAATTTGTTTCCTTAGTGTAATTAGAATTCCTTACACTTCTTGTTGAAGGAGAAGAGCATTACCCTGCTGGTAGTCTCTAGGGGAAGGAGCCAGCTTTTCAGATGGTTCTGTATTCCATGATGAATGACATCCCTCGAGGTATTGTCTATGAGGACTTTCAATCTTTTTTTTCTGTGATTCTTTCATGTTACCAACTTACTGGCTTTAGAATAATATAAGTGTAGGTCTTGTCTCTTTTGGCCTTTATGCTTTTTGTATAATCTTTTCGAGGCAGCAAAAAGAGTGTTTGCAGTTTTCTTTAGTTAATAATTCTAAGTGCACCTAGAGGTAGGACCTGTGTTGACTGTGACATGGAATTACTCTGGCCATAGACCCACAGCTGGATTGCAGCCCATCAGCTGTCTGTGGTGACTGGTGGTGTAAGGCAAAGCCTTACTGTGAACTTTTACAGAACAGTTTGGGGTTGAATTTGAACTGACCTATATTCATTTTAGGGGAAGGTCATTACATGGGTAATGATTATAAGTCAGTGGAAATATGACAGAGTGAGCAAACCAAGTATTTAGTGTCATTGATTCTTAAGCAGTGTTCCAAACAACTGGATATGAGGACAGAATGTTGAGTAAACTGAAAGAAATAATATTTCTGCTAAGAATGGCTGTTGACTAAAAGATCGCTTTTAAAAAATGTTGATTAATTAATTACTTGCTTCTCTTTCTTTTTTCTAAGTATGTATAGAAAATACGATTCAACTAGAATAAAAGCAGAGGAAGAAGAAGTCTTTTCAAGTAAGAGATGCTTAGAATGGTTCTATGAATATGCAGGTAAGTGTGAAATGCAAATTTCCTACCAGTAACAATTAAATTTATATTGGGAATATGAAAATTGCATTAACTGAGCTTTCAAAAGACAGAATATAAAATATGTTTTGTAAAAGTCTTAGAGAAACTTCCCTTTATCCTGTGGGATGTGAGGTTGAAGAGTTCAAGGTTCAGTTTTGTCTTTGTCTATATCCTATGAAAAGAATACAGAAGGTGTGTAATTTGAAATATTTTGGAACATGTATACATTACTATTCAAATCTACAGTTAAAGCTGTACTTCTGTTGAAAATGTTGTTACCTCTCTGTCATCTGCCATGTTAGTGCTGTATAGTACAGAATTAGCCTCAGAAGTGGTGTGTCTTTAATGAAAAAACCCAAAGGGTGAGGGAGGTAGTAATGCTAGTTTTGTTCCTGCTGAATCTGGTGCTTAGGGTTTCAAGCAAAGAAGTGAATGAATTCAAATACCCTGGACTAGTTTTATCAAATAGTTTTGCATCACAAGGTGTAGGGAAGGTAGCCTGTATTATTTATTCTTGCCCTTGTGTATGAGAACTTTCTTCAGGCATTACTTCTAGGAATGTTAATTATGGTCTGTGGTCACAGATGATGCTTTATTAGTGAAGTTGGTTGTTGTATTTGTTTTCCTGCAAATGTTTTCTGAAAGGAAGAATTTGACATATGGGGAAAAATGATCTCATGACTGTAAAGACCAAAAAGAAATTAAATAGATATTTTGTGTCATCTTGCAGTTTTCTGGTGATGTCTTTAATAACATGTCTAACTTGTTCTGTTTTGTCTGCTTTTTAAACATAATGAAGAGTGACTTAATTTGATGGAATAAAACATTTTTTTCTCCTAATAAAATTATATAAATGAAATTAAATACTTTGAGATCTCGCTTGTCTGTGGCAGTCTGTGAGAGGAGACTCAGACAAATTCAAGCCAAATCTAACCTGTTAGATTGTCTGCCTTTCTGACCAGCTTGATTTATTTTTTTACTCTAGCAACAGGCATGACTCATTTTTGTCAAGACTTTCATGGAAAGAAAGGATGAAAGGAAGGCTGTTTGTGAAAGAACTTTGGGGTTTCCACTGGATGCACACACCAAGATAAAACACAGAAAAGTGGAGAGTACGATTCTGTTTACAGTATTGAATAATATTCTAAAAATTGAATTTTCAAGGAATAATCTCTTGTGTTCTTGCTTCTTAAGTCTTCTTTATGTAAGCAGACAGTTGACACTGCATTTGGGTTTTTTTCCCTCCCTTGGTGTGTTTTTGCATAACAGAATGGGTCTTTTTAAAGGCTGTTGTGTACACTCTGAGAGCTGAGAGGCTGTTATGAGAAGATGGGAAAAGACATAATTGAACCTTGTTATTTCTAGAATAGATCACCTAATAATAAAATACAGATTGATCTTCCCTTTATGAATCCTGTTTTTCTTGCACACATGCTTTTTATATTGGAGGAAAGTAGCCATTTCAGCATGTATTTTTTTTTTCAAATGAGCCCTTTTAAATATGAGTCAAATAATTCTAACAAAATAGTTCAAATACTTAAAGTGTAGAATTGCACAGTACAATTCTTAATGTCTGTTTAATTTTTTCAGAGTATTATAGAAGTTGTAAATATCTTGATTTAAGACCATGTTTTATTAGTGGTGCATTTTAATAGCATTTGTGTTTTGAGTCTTTTTTTTTTCCTTTTAAGTAGGCAAAGAAATAACTGTAATTCATTATTTCCTTCCTGTTGCACTTACTGTTAGACAGATGATGTGTGACCATGGTGTAGCAATATGATGAATAAGCAGGATAACATTGTATAAAGATAATATATGAGACAGTGTGGAATGACGTTCTGGGAATGATAATGCCTTGTATCCTGTATAGCTGTACATCATGTTTGTATGTGATTTGAGCTTATGATAAAGTAGAGATTCCAGCCAGGGCATGAGTTTCACTAGCCATCGTCCTCTCATTTAATTTGGTAATATTATCTGGGTGTTCTGTTAATCTTAAGTGCATTATGGAAAAAATTTTACTAATTTACACTTCCAAGATTATCTCAGTAAACGAGTTGAAAGATTGGCAGGGATGAAAAGTTGTTTTACGGTTTCTCTGCTTTCAAAGGTGAGATAAATCTTTAAGTGTATCCAAGTCTGATAGTAAGTGTGGAAATATTTAATGCCAAAACAAACAAACTGTATGAAAGTAAGGTTGCACTATGTGATTGCACTTCTTTTGTGCTGTAAAGAACAGGCCATTTTCATTTTTAGAGATAAGTAAAATATGTTTTGTTTGCAGGCACGGATGACATTGTAGGGCCAGAAGGTATGGAGAAATTTTGTGAAGACATTGGAGTTGAACCAGAAAATGTAAGTTCAGAATCCATTTTAAAATTGCCTCATCTGCTGTAGTGTACATGAGCTAGTCTTACAGTTTTTGTTTTTTCACCAAGATTTGAAAAAATCTTGAGAGTTTAAAAAAATTCAAGAAATATAAGCCAGGGAGGTTTTGAAACACATTTGGGAACAACTTGCCATTATGTTCAACCCCAGACTGTCAACCTGTAAAACCTCAATTTGTCTTCACTGCCACCCCTTCTTTCACTGTAAGACCACCAACCTTCAGGCTCTCCAGAAAAAGAGAGATCTTAAAAAAAAAAATGCTGATGATTGCCTTCTCTGAAACAAAGAGATGACATCAAGATTTAATATATCAGCTAACAAACAAGGGTTTTCTAGGACAGAAAGAGATCTCAAATATTATGGGCAGTGGTGGCACTACCATTACACTGTTTCAAAAAAACAAATAAGGAATATAAATACATTTACAGGTACTTATTCTGTATGGGAGGTGTGTATAGTTATATATATATATAAAAATAAATAAAATCTAAAATAATAATTGAGCATTTTACAGGCTTTTTCCTAGTGCCTAATTTTTGTTCTTTAAATGCATTTTGCAAGTCCTGTCTTTCGCAGAATTCATGGAGCTTCATATAAGTAAATGAGAATTGTGGCTTTGAAAGATGTACTGGAAAATCAGATGTAATTTGCTAATTTCAGAGTTTAGCATAATAATAAATGTTGTGATTTATGCAGACATTTGGAGGTATGAGTGGATATTCTGATATCGCATTATAAGCTGTATAGGGTTGCCCTAACCATAGCTAGTTAATGGCTGAGTTGCAAATTTAAATAACTTGATTATTTTTTTCTCCAGGTTGGTAGGGTCAGTTATCCTGCAAGTTTTTCTTTCACGTATTTGTCAAAAGTGGTTTCTTAAGTTGATAAATTAAATAATAATAATCTTATGGTATTGCGTTATCTAAATTCTTTTTTGCTTTGGTCTTCTGTGTGAGATGTGAAAAAGACTGTTTTCTTTTGGGCAAAACTGAGGTATTATGTATCAGCCTGTGTTTTGATGTTAGTTCATCTAGATTTACTTATCTGCTTGAATTGTGGGATCATTATTAGCTTTCAAATAATTGGTTCCATGGATTGCAGATGATGCTCATTGAGATGAAGGTTTAACAAATGTCAGGTATAGCTTATCAAACTGATACTGAAATTTTGTAGTTACTTTGGGAAATCTTTTCTGCAGCTTTCACACCAACTCATCTTCTCCCCATTGTATTGCTTATGAGATGACATAACTTGGGTAGATGTTCACTCCATGTATTTGTACTATTCCCTTCTCTTCATTTGGATTGTGTACAGGTTTGTCACTTACAGGGCTTTTTAAACTTCTAAAATAGTGTTGCAAAGTTCTGAACTTTCCACTTATACAAATAAAAGCATTGGTATCGTAGTAAGCAGTGGTTATTTATAGAACACATGGATCTTTTTGTTAAATTCTCAGTCTCCATTTTTTTCTCTTTAAAACAGGTAGTTATGCTTGTGCTAGCATGGAAGTTGGATGCACAAAATATGGGCTATTTTACATTACAAGAATGGTTAAAAGGAATGACATCACTACAGTAAGTGCCTTGAAAATTCTCTATAGTTACTTAATTCTCTATAGTTACTATATTTCTTATAGTAAACACAGCTTTTCAGAAAAAACACACTTAAGGTGTTGAGTGAAAACACTAAAGCAAAGAAATCTGCCATGGAGTAGAAGTCACAAATTTTTGGCCTGATTTATGATAATATGGTCACTTAGAGACAACTTGAAACCTGATGTAGCACATTTAAATATATTTGGGTTAAAAGATCTGCAGTCTCAATAAAAGAGAAATCTGATGAAGTTTGACACTCTTTCTGTCCCCAAGGACACCAGCAATCTTTGTTGCTGGTGCTTTATCTGTTGGAGAGTGCATTTTTTACAAAGCCAGTCAGTCCCGGTGTAAGACTTTGCTACTTCATCTAAATTTGTTTTACACTACAGGTTTAATAAGGCATTTTATGCAGACATACTCAAACATTTGTGTCTGTACAGAGTGATGTGTTTTGTACAGGTTAATGGGCATACTTGTTAGAGATTCTGTCCTAGAACATCAGACATCTCAGTAAGAATGCAGACTCTAAACTCACTTGGTGCTTGTTTTGTAGGTGTGATACTACAGAAAAATTGAGAAATTCTCTGGATTACTTGAGATCTTTATTAAATGAGCCTACCAATTTTAAACTTATTTATAGATATGCCTTTGACTTTGCCCGGGTAAGTACTGTGCATTTGAAATTACAAGCTTTACTGTCATAAATAATAATTGAAAGACTGTGTACTTCTAAGTTTGTTTCTTTGAAGGTACCACTCAAGATGGCTTTGAACAAATGGAGCAATTTGTGTTCTGAAACAGTATATGCAAGATGTCAAAACTGGAAAAGACAAGTATATAGAATGTGTGATGCTTAGTGGTTTAGTGGCATGTGTTAATTACATCTCTGCCTCAAGCTATTTTATGACTTCAGGGAAATGTTTTAGGCCCCGTTCTGTTATATATTGGAGCTTTATCACTCAGTTCCCCTGACACTGTAATTTACTGTGGTTTTTCTTACTCTGAATTTTGTGAGCATAAACATATATAAAATAGGAAGACACATCACACATTTCTATAGCTGGTAAAAATGGATAACATGCTAAAAGCTGGATATGATAAATACTGATTCAGAAGATTGTCGGAATGGCTTTAATGATGTTTTCAGTATTCATTAAAAAATACCCTGATATTAGTCTTCCTGCTATAAAACATGCTTTGATGAAATTTTACCTGTAATGGAACTAATATGCATAAGACTTTTCATACTTGGAAGGAGTAATAAGAGAACTTTATTTTCTGAAATAACATTTTGAAATAGAATTTGGACATCCGTTTTACTAATGTGATAGAGTGTAGAGAAGATTTAACATAAAGAGGTGAAACTGAACCTCAGATTTCAGGGCAAGAAAATTAAAAATACTAAGAAAACTTGCACCAAAAAAAAAGTAGCATGACAAAATCAGAAAAATAAGAAGAAATTGAACTGATAGCAGTTCTGATAGTCTCCTGTTAGCAACTCAGATTTTTGGTACCTCAGTGATTTCTGCATCTCAGCATTTGGATTTATGGTTGTTCACTTTTAAACAAGGAAACTTGCAATTGAATAGAAAAAAATGCATGGGATTAGTTAGTATGTGAGGAAAAGAAAAGCTACATCAACCTCTTAATTCCGCCGTTGCTGTATGAAGCTTTATTCTGCTACTTTTTGCTCAATGTAAAATGCAAAGGCATTGCCTAACAAGTTCAAGATACTGATGAAATATTTGGGATAGAGGGCTAACCTGTGCCAGCTGATGGCCTGTCAGAAGTGCAGATACTTAAAAGGTGGATAGTGTGTGTGTTCTTTTCAAGAGGTACCAAACTGCTGTGACAAACAGTGGTCTCAGAAATTTAAACATTTAGACACAGGTGCTGTGACAAAAAGCCCCTGCAGATTATAGAACTTGAAGTCAACGACGTATAAACTGGGGAATATTTGGCTAATATGATTATTGAACTTTCCAGACTACAGACTTGGGGAAAGTCTATAGGAGAATGGCATCCAGTAAGAATAGAAAAGAACAAAGGCAGGTATATTTATAGGTGGCAGATTAAATTTGGCATAAATTTTTTCAGGGTCACTGAAGTGATTGATAGAAAAAAGCTGATTGTATAATTTCTGTCCTAAGGATAATTCTTTCAAGGGAGTACTCTATGGCAAAAAGCCACTTGTCTAAACTTCCCAAGTTATTAGAGGAAAGGTTTTTAAAGAGTCTGTTGATTTGGCATTTGAAGTTAGTTTGTGAATAAAGATGTGTCATCAAGGTTTCATGTGGCATGTGTGATTTAAGTCAGCATAGATTTGGGGAAATAATTTATAACACCATATGTTGATATTAAGCACAAATAACATTCCTCAATCCATGTTTGCCCTTGTTATTGCCAAGTTTTAGAACATACAGATGCATCTATTGCATGGCTTAAATTGATCTTTAATGTGAAATATTAGGGGAAAAAAATCTCTGGAAGAGTGTCTATCATTAGTGTAAAACAAATACTCAGATAAAATAAAGTTTTTAAATAAATTCCTTTAACTGTATCTAAGGAATGTGTTTAGAATGTAAACTAAGAATGCAATTGCATCATCTGTCATGGCAAATGTGCCATTAGGCAGTTATAGGTGGATAGAAAGGGCTTATCTGAACAATTTGTTCTGATCAGTTGTCTGAGAGAGAGAACGTAGAAATGTAACAATATAAGGCATGAAAAACCAGTGTGGCCAAAGTAAAGGCAATAGAGCCCGATTTCATTAATACTTGAGCATGTGGGTAGAATTCAGAGTATGAACAGTAGGTAAAATAAAATGTATTCTGACAGCAGTATTGTTTCTGCTTTAAAGGTGTTTGTGACAGAAGTGTAGATGGGCTTTGGAAAGAGGATTAGGTTTTAGAACTTTTTGAGGTTGGAAATAAATGAAAGATTTATATCATACTAGTACAAAAATGCCTTTGCAGGTTTCTTTTTCTTCTTTATTGCTAATTGAAAAGCGTTGTTCATCATGGAATTTACTTTTTTTTCCCCTAAATCCCTCTTGGATGTAGTGCCCAGAATGCAAAACAGTTTCTCATGTTTTTAGAATTGCTGGTCTCCCCACTTTACTTTCAAAACAAATCTGCATTAAATTCTGTCTATACAATTTTAGAACTGAGGAGCATTTAGTATGAAATGAACATAACCTTGTAACTAGGGCATTCAGTTGTTGACTGAGAACTGGGATCTTGCTCTGCCAGTTCCTTCCTGTGTGATAGAACAATTCAGTTATGATTTGAGCTTGCTTTTTTTAAATAAAGATGCATGTTCTGTAATACATACCTGTGCATTTTTGCAGGTGAAATGTAGGGCACAATTCCCCTTGTGGTGGGCAGCTAGCTGTCTTGCCATGATCTGTTAGACAGTCCCTACATCCAGATATCCCTGTGTGGGATATGTCCTGGTAGACAACAAGCTGTCCATGAGTCAGGAGCGTGTTCTGGTGGCCAGGAAAGCCAGTGGTTTTCTGGGAGGACAGTGCCAGCAGGCTGAGAGAGGTGATCCTGCCCCTCTATTCAGCCCTGGTGAGGCCACATCAGGAGTGCTGTGCCCAGCTCTGGGCTCCTCAGGGCAGGAGAGACATGGAGCTCCTGGGGCAGGTCCAGTGGAGGGCGATGAGGTTGGTTAAAGGATAGGAACTTAGCAGTGTCTATCAGTATCTGCAGGGAGGGTGTCTGAGAATGGATCCAGGCTTTTTTCAGTGCTGCCAAGCAATAGGACAAGAGGCTGTGGGCAGAAAGTGATGCACAGGAAGTTCATCTGAATATGGGGGAGAACTTTTGCTGTGCAGGTGACCACACACTGAAACAGACTGCCCAGAGAGGCTGTGGAGTCTCCCTCTCAGGAGATAGTCAAGAACCACTTGGGTGCAGTTCTGTGCTGTGTGCTCTAGGGTGACCCTGCTTGAGCAGGGGAGCTGGACCTGACGAGCCACTGTGGTCTCTTACCCATTCCATGATTCTGTGATGCCTCTTAATTTAGCCTTTGCACTCTGCTGTCATGAGTAGATGCACAGAACAAGTCTGTGTTAGCTAATACAGAAATATATTTTTTGTGATTTCATTAACTTGTGAATTTGTAGCTCAGTGTTAAAAACCAAGGCATAGAAGTGTGGGGGGTTGTGTCTCATCTCTCAGCAAAAGTGGTTTAATTTTATGATAACAAATGTAGATGAATAAACTCCTTAAAAAATGGAATCGTACACATACATGTTACTTTGAGATGTGCAGAAGTTATGTAAATATTTACCACTGATTAACAAACTTGCTGGGTACATATGTTGCTGCTCTTACTTAGCAGAAACTAAAAAAAAAAAAACAGCCCTTAAGCTTAAATATGTTGTTGTTACATTGAACTAAAACTGGACAGTCCAGAGGGGAGTCTCAATGTGCTAGTGTACTATGTTCTGTCTGCTCATTTGATAATTTAATCTGAATTCCATGTAATCAGTTAGACTAACAGAACAAAGATCCTCCCTTGGCTCACTCTCGGGTAGGGAAGGAGGTGTCAGTTAGCACTGAGTGTCGATTGACAGCTCAGGTAGTTGTAATGATAGGCTGGGAAGTGGGACAGCACTGCTATTCTGAGAGGTGTGGCTGTGCAGGGGTAAGTGCCAGCCTGGCTGGGGATGTGGTGGCCATTGCTGGCTAGGGAGGTCTGCAGTCAGAAATAACCTCATGCCTCATCTGCCATAACGGTGATGTTTTTATTGGGTACATCTATAAAAAGCAACATCTCCATATAATAAACCATTACCTATAAGGAAGGAAATTTTAAAGGCAAGTTATATATTATTAAAAAAACACTGTTAGATACTGTTGTGTATTATTTATTTGGTAATTTATTTTGTCCATGGGTGAGCTGTGAGGGAAGTGAAAAATCTGGAATTCATGCTCTGTTTTCCTTTTTGACGTTTCCGTGCAGGAAAAGGACCAGCGCAGCCTAGATATCAATACTGCCAAGTGTATGTTGGGCCTTCTTTTAGGAAAAGCATGGTCCCTTTTTCCAGTGTTTCATCAGTTTCTAGAGGTATGGAATTGGAAACAGAATTGTGGGGGCTTTTAATCTGTCTTTGATACTTTTAACTCGAGGTAGAATGGACAGCTAAGAATGCTGTGTTCTGATTTAGGAAATTGTAACCACCAAAGAAGCACATACAGCTGGTTATCTTTCCTTTCTTTCTTTTTCCTAAAATCCTATGCTGTTAAGATTTGTGTAATGCAGAACAAACTATAGAATGTTATTTATTTGCTTTTGAACTTTATTGCAGTATGTTTGCCCTCAAAAAGACGACTTAATCAGAAGCATGATTTAACACTAGTTTCAATACTTGCTGGTTTAATCCTTTTTATTTTTGATGGCATACAAATTAAAACAATAAGGCACCAAAAAATTGAAATTTTCTGTACGAAAATCTTGAGTTTGAGACAGTTGAAAATACATTTCAGTAATTTCTGTTTCTTGCCTCAAGCAGCAATCAAAATACAAAGTTATCAATAAGGACCAATGGTGTAACGTTCTTGAATTCAGCAGAACAATTAACCTTGACCTCAGTAACTATGATGAAGATGGAGCCTGTAAGTACTACCATTTGTTGATTTTCTAAAATAATTTATTTCTCTGAGCTTAATCAATCGTTGTTCTTGTACAAAATTTTGTAAAATACAGTTCTTTGATCTCTCCACAGGGCCAGTGTTGTTGGATGAGTTTGTGGAGTGGTATAAAGGAAAACAGATGACATAGGAGTTTAACTATGCACAGCCACTCAAGAGTCACTGTTACCACAGTTATGTCAACCATTAGCCATAAACTGCTATTTGTATCAAAGTGCATGCTGCTTTTCTTGCACTGCATCCCTTTGGCAAGGAACTTTTGATGTTTGCTATTTAACAAGCTAGCTATGCTTGCTGTTTAGCATTGTTCTCTTTGAAGGCTGCTTTGCATTTTGTATTTACACTACAAATTGGTGAACTTGCCAGAGTCTTCACTGTGATTATGTGTATATTGCTGTCTAAATTTTGTATATGTGTATAAAAAAAGGCTTCACCTAGGAATTATTTCTGCAGAAATGTATTGTAAAAATAATTTTGTGGCATATTTCTAATCATCACTTACATGTCTGTTGAAACTTTAGTTATTTTGGTTTTTTTTTGGTCTCAAATGTAGCATTTCAGTCTTTCTGGACATAGTTATGTGAAGAACTATTTACGGTTTCAATGTTACTATTTGAGATGCCAATTTCTGAGAAGAGAAGACATGCTGTGATTTCCTTCACCAGAATTTGCCAAACCTGACTTAATGCTTTATAGGAATGAAATATTGGTGTCTTAAAAAATATATATACATATAAATATTTAAACACTGTAATAGCTGTACATGCCACAGATGATTTCCATTTGAAGAAAAAAGTACTGACTTTTTAATGTTAAAACTGCAGTAGTTGTTACAGGTACAAAAGAACAAATTAAAGTACCTTTTAAAAATGGGTTTTAGACTTTTGTAAATTGCCTTTGGCATACTCCTTTTAATTTTTGTTGTACCAAGAGTGTTTGGTCTATGTTGTGATCTAGTCACCCAATAACATTGAAAGTGCTAGCTGAAGAAAGTGGTTTGGGGAATGAAGTATGCTCACCCCTAGCACAGACACGATAAAGGTTTTGGGGATTATTTTGTTTGTAACACTAGTCTTTCCAAGGGCCTCGAGCTTCGTGTTTCTAAGTACTTAAAAATACGATATTGGGAAAAATATGATGGTGAATAGTGAAAGTACTGCTTTTTCTTTCCTGTTGGGGATTAAAGTTTCCTGGCAGAATGTCCATTGCGGGCAATGGGCATGTAAGACACCAGCATTAAGTAACAGTACTTTTTAGTAGGGACCACTGCCTGTTTCACTCATCTCTGTCTGTATGGGATGGTTCTAGTGATTATTTTGGGAAAAAATGAGTGAATGGAATAATGTTTAAGTTCTGTAATTTTGTCATGTTGTCTTTGCCTTACCCTTCTTCATTAATGTCATTGTTGATATTTCTAAATAGGTCCTTAAAGTATCAGGTGCTATTAAACTTTTATCCCTAAGGATTTATTAAAATGTTATTCATTCATGGAGCATTTAACAACAAAGGGCCAGTGGGTGTTTTGGAACAACAAATAACATTATTTTTCTGTAGAAATATTTTACAAGGTATTGGCAGTTTTGTTATTTCCCTAGAATGCCATCCAGGGGAACAGGAGGAAAGCATTTTAAGTTGAAAGTGAAATTCTCTTCTGTATTGAAGGTTCTATCCTTGCCATCAAGTGAGGAACAACTGCCATTGACTTGACTCCTTTCAGGATTAAGTCTAGTTTAGCAAAAGCAGGTTAGTTTGCTGTCCTGGGCCAGGAGGTTGTAATTGTCATGGTACAGGTGGTCATTTGTGTTCAGATCTGTTTGTTGTTTTTCTTGGTTTTTGTTTTTCAAGCTCAGCTGCCAAAGACAAAAACTGTGTGTCTGTTTGTGTATATTTCTATATATGTAAATATACAATATACATGCGTATACAAAACCTAGAATTTCATGATGTTAAGAAGAAAATACTACCTTTCCTGTGAAATAGCTACATTTGGATTTCCATAACACTAAATAGTGTTTTTTAAAGTTAGTAGTGGTAAAACATACACATTGAGTGCTTTCTCATGTACTAATGCACATAACCTTAATTCCATGTTTGATGCCAGTTTGCACAAGAAATTGAGTGGAGTGTGGTATTTAATGTTTACAATAAGCCTCCTAAGAATACACACCTTTTATTAAGACTTCTGATGTAAATGTGTACATTACAATAGTATTATTGTAATGAAATACCAGTGGAGCTGCTGGTTTAGTTCTTCAGAGAATGAACTTAGAAGTAATACAACTTTTAACATTAGGCCAAATTGTGATTGCCAAGATTTTAAGGGAAATAGATGTAATTGTTCTTAAAACATTAAGCTAGCTGTTGACTCTAGGAGACTGTTCAGCTCAAATTGGTGTGAGTCCTGCAACAAATACAAGTTTGTATAAAAGGTTTTGTATGTCACAAATAACTGAGCTTCCAATAATGGAAGCAAGAGCCAAAGACACTTTTAATATATTACTGTTACAGGTATAGCTTTCATATAACAGGATTGACAGAAATTGGTTCAGCCAAATGTTGGCAATTTTGCAAGTGTTTATCAGAATAAAAAATGTACTTAAAAACAAGGAAATGGGGAAAGAAACCTCAGAAAGTACTTGAGCTGTGTAAGCAAACAAACTTGATTTTTTAAATTTGGGTAAAAGTAATTGAGAATGATGGAAAGGAAGGATGTTTGGAAATGAATCAGATGCTGCAAATTTTTTCTTCCATTTGAAACAGTATGAATCTGTAGCCATCAGCAGGTTTATAAACATGCATCTTCATAAAATAAACCACAGATTCAATTAAAGCTAGTAGAGACAGCTTTACTGACATTTATAGTGAACAAATGGATTAAAATGGACCTGTGGTTTGATGAGCTTCCCTGTGCTATCCATCCTGTTGGGTTTGCTAAATATGCTGATAAGCAGAAGATCCTAACATTGCCTACTCCTGTATGCTGGAGAAACTTTTAATAGTTGTGGAAACTTAATTAACATACTCAGTTAATCTTGTATTTAGTACAAGTGTGGCATTTGCTTTTTTTGTTTATTATGCCATCAAATAGCTGATGTAGATTTTTTTTTTGTTTGATTATGGGCTCCCATCCCAACCCCTAAGAGAAGTAATGTAGAAAACATGCTGTTTTCTGGGACAAGACACTTGAGAGGTCATTCCTGAAGAAGTGTTATGGGTCTTGTGCTCATGTTAGTGGTGTACTGTGATTGAACTTTTAGCAGAAACTTGATGATCAATCTACAGTTCATTTTTGGTGTTTGGGAGATGTAAATTGGAAAGACAGTTAGTGAAAGGAAAACAGTGTCCAGAGACTATAGCAGTTGATGTTCTTTAATAGATGACAAACATTTGGAGCTCTTTCCACTCAGTAGTCTTAAGAATCTTTTCAACCTAAATGATTCTATTAATACTAGTAACCAAAACAGTCCATGAATTAAATTTTCTTCTAAAGCAAAGTGACTAAGTACTTGAAGTACTAATATAATTCTCTATTGCTGTTATTTCTTCACTTTTTTATCTTTTCCAAGGAAAGCAAACCGAAGAACATTGAAATTACTGAAAATATTTACGTATTTGAGTTTTCAGTTAAAACCTCTTTAAGGTTGTTTTTAAGCTGCAATAACTACTTGGGTTCTCTTTCTGTTGCCATTTTTAATTCTGTAGAGGCTTCTCCCATTTTACCACAAACGTGTTTTATTTCATCAGAAATATTCTCACACAATCAAAATTAGTTGTGGCTTATTGCTACTTCATTCATGTTCCCAAGTGACTATTTTGAAGGGCAAGAAATGGACTTCAGTTGTGTTAAGGTTTTCCCAGATTTCTGTTGACCCTTAGTCACAAGTGTCAAATTGTTTGATACTCTTGGAATTTATATAGGCAGCTTTAAAGGTTAGCTTGTGCCCTGGTTTTATTTATAGCTGCTAACATACCTCTTTCTAGGCCTTATATTTTGTCTTTTCATATTGTTGTAAAAGTATATAGAATCCATCCACAAACAGAATGGTTTGTTTTCTGTAATTGAGACCAAAATTCAGCTTTTTTTGTTTGTTTGTTTGTTTGTTTTTATTTTTTAAATCCTCACCCACTCCCCCACTGTGTGTGTGTGTGCATGTGTACGTGTCCAGATAGCACCTACTGACACTGCTGTGGCAGGAACAGCAGTTAACCTGTAACTGTGAATGCTTTATGTCTTAGTTACCTGGATATTACATAATTAAGGTGTGCTAACTCCTGTGACTCACAATATGATGAAAATACTATTATGCCACCTAACATGAGTTAATCCAGTTGATTTTTTTTAGGTCTTTTCTTGGTGTTGTTCTAAAATGGCATCTCACAAATAAACAGTATTTGTGTTGGTATCAGAAACTGACTTCAGATTTTTCTGTGATTCATAGTTCAGGAATTCTCATATCTGAACATACATCAGCTGGCAGCCTTTATTAAATATTAGCAGGGAATTTGTGTGTAGGATCTTGTCCCCCTGGTTTCTAATAGTGGAGCAAATCTGTATTTAAAACTGTTGGGAACAGGTACATGTATCAAAAAGGTTATGGTTCAAATGGAGTGTGTTGGTGTAAAACATTAAAACGAACGTTTTCAACAATAAGTGAATTTGAGCAGAAATGCCTCAAGACAAAATTTTACAGAAGGATAATTCTTACCCACTTATCTTGGTCCAGCTTTTTGAACCACAAGGTCCTCATAGAAAAGCTGTTGATATATGGAATGGATGAACAGATGGGTGAAAACTGAAAATTGTAGGGCCCAGGGAGTGGTGCTCTGCAGAGCAAAGTCTAACTGGAGACCAGTAACTAGTGCTCTAGCCCCAGGGTCAGAGCTGCGTCCAGTCCTGTTCAACAGCTTCATTACTGACCTGGGTGATGGGGCACAGCAAGTTTGCTGATATGACAGAGTTGGAAGTAAAGGATGATAAGCCAGATGACCATACTGCCTTCCAGAAGGATCTCAGCATGCTTGAGAAATGGCCTGACAGGAACTACAAGAGCTTCATCCTGGAGAGGTGCAAAGTCCTGCAGCTGGGGAGGAGCAGCCCCCTGCACCAGTATCTGCTGGGGGCCACCCAGCTGGGAAGCAGCTTGGCAGAAAAGGGCCTGGAGGTCCTGGTGGACACCGAGTCGGAGATGAGCTAGCAACAAGTCCTTGCAGTGAAGAAGGTGAGTGGTTCCTGCCTGATTCTGACCAGGTACTGCCAGTAGGCTGAGGGTTGACTCTTCCCTCCTACACAGCCCTGATGAGGCCACACCTGTTGTGTCCAGTTCTGGGCTTCCCAGTGCCGGTGACACTGTGACATTCTGGAGACAGTCCAGTAAAGGGCCGTGAAGATAATGAGGAAGGAAATGAAGGGATGGGAACTTCTGTCCCATGAGGAAAGGCTTACAGCTGTTTGGCCTGGAGAAGATTCTATGGGAAGTCTTACTGAAGTGTTCCAATATCTGAAGGGAGGGTGTAAAGAAGACAAAGACTCTTCAGCCAGTGCTTAGTGACAGGACAGAGGCAGTGGGCATTAACTGAAACTTAGGAGGCTCCATCTGCACATCAGGAACTTCTCTGTTTTGCTGTGAGGGTCACCATGCACTGATACTGAGTCTGTCCTTGAGATACTCAGATAGCCCTCTGAAAGTGTCCTGAGCAACTGGCTCTAAGTGGCATTGCTTGGCCAGGATCATTGGACTAGGTGACCCCCAGGTATTGCTTCCAACCTTGACTTAAAATATGACTTGAAGTGGATGTATTTACATTGTAATTAGAATATTGTCATGCAGAACCCATAGTGAAGAAGTTTTTCATTGTATTTATGTTTCTGATGAAGGCTGGGATTGGCTTTGCCAATTCTCAGAATGTAGGCTCTTGCTTATCTGTATTTATCAGAGGGGATGAGTCACAGTCTTCTCTACCATAAAGAATTTACTATCCAAAAAAGTTTCTTTTGTTGGTCATGTGTAAGTTAAATGTGTGTGTCTTCTTCTTATATTTAAGGGTTATTTTCCAGCTCAATTTTCAGCATATTCAGGCTTTGTACCCACAGCAAATAACTTGACAATTTTCAAACTATTATATGTTTGAAAATGGGAGTTTTGTTTCATCCTGATTACTGCATTTGACGTACTAAAGAGCAATTGCTAATGAAATGAACTAATATGAAGGAGAAGCAGCTGAGTTTGAATTTGAATGAAGATGTGATAGTAAGAATGGAGAGGTGAGTAGTAAAGGACAGTGGCAAGATTTGGCAGCTATACAAAGATAAGTTTGAGATGAAACATAATATTTTGGCAGTAGAATGAATACTTTGCCACATGTTAAAATCCCACTATAAAGGAATGAATTTATTTTGTCTGACAAGAACAGAAACTTTTCCACATCTTTATGGGATAAAGGGAATCTTAGAAATCCTGCAGGTTCTCACATGTAGAGTGTACTGTCTGCCTCACCACCACAGCATTCTCATGGTCAGAAAAAAAGACGAGAAAATCATTTTCCACTTTATATTTTGAAATCCTGTTGGACTGTTGCACGAGCAAATGGCAAAGCATTTCAGTGTATGAGATACCAATAGAGCACTCGAGTGTGTTTTTTCCCCCATGATTCACAAAATTGCCTTGCTTGTATGGTTAGATTTCTTAACACGTTAGTAGCTGCAACAACCAAAAGGTGACAGGCCTTGGAGAGGTGTTAATGATATTTGAAGACCCACAGATACCAAAAAGAGTGAGTCAGTGCTTTTTTCAGGCATTGCATTTTTAAAGTTGTTTTGGCCACAAAGAACTTGTGTGGATAATGAGCTTTACTGAAACTGGCTGTGACACTTTGTTCTTAGTTTTTTCTTTAAAGGTAGTTTCAGTGATGTAGTGTGCCATTGGATTTGCTTCTCTTGTGATGGAATTGAAATATGTTCCTTCTGTTTGGAGTTTTTAGGAGTTAATTGTGTCTTTGTGAAAGAGTTTTCCTAGAGTTGTAGCCAACATCCTACGTTTTCCCAGGACTGGGTCTGCTCCCTTTTATGATGACATTTCCCTTCAAGGACTGCATCAGTGGTACTGAGTCTGTTGATAGGGCCTTGGGCTATATTCAGAGGTAATTTTACCTTACAATTGCTATCTATTGGCTACTGATGTTTTAAAATAGCAGTTTTCAACTCTTGATTTTCCCCTCTTAAATAAAAGTCTCAAATGGATGTAGGATACTTTGTCTCTTTTAAAATTACCCTGCCTGTGTCACCACATCTGCAAACTTCAGGTGATGTCTCATTATAGCTACATTTCTATAACTGATGTTTCTGGGGAATTGAACTCTATTCTGTGTCTTTGAGAAACGTGGTTTTCTCTCTTTTGCTAAGTTAAAATGTAATTTTTGAAATGTAATTGAATACTACTTGGACTCTACTTATTTTTGCAACACTAGGAATTCAGAGATAATCCACAAATCTGGCTCAAAAAGCAGAAGACAGTAGTATGTACTCTTTCACTGTATATATATATATATATATATATATATATATACACACACTGTATATATAGTTTGAGTCCCGTAAGAAAGCACAGTAATAGTAATAATGTAAATTTCCATATTGCATTTATTTTAGACAAAAAGACAAAACTGAGTATCTGAAGCAAATTCCAAGGGAAATGATGTAGTAGTATCAACTACCAATAATGCGAAAGTAAACATAATTCAGCAAAAGGTTTATTAATATTCTGGAGTAGCTTTTTATAAAGTCTGTTATTAGGTTTTTTATGGGTACCTTTCTAAACAAAAGTAATTTCACTTCAAAACAAAATGTTTGCACCTGCTGTAGTGACATAAACACTGTGGGAGCTTAGTGTTATCATTTTGTGTTTCAGCTATTGAAGTTTGTTCTCCTGCTTTGCAAAATATTAGCAAAACCATCAAATGCTCTTTTCTTCTTAACAAAAAACTGGTCCTGTCTCGAATTTGTCTGACTTTTTTGGCTGAGATTTTCACTGGAATTTTGGAAGTGTTCTCCAGTTATTGCAGAGTGGTTCTCCAGTTCGGACAAAGTAGTGTGATCCTTCATCTTGCTGGAATCGGTGCTTTCAGAGATTGTATTTCCTGTAGGCTTTTGTGGGAAGGAACATGAGCTGTATGGTGTGCTTTCATTGAAGAAACCTTGTGGGATTGAGAAAGAATATGCATCCTCATCACCATGATCTAGTTGGATGGGATCATTTTTTGCGAATTCTGATTGTGTTTTCCCAGAACTGTGAAGATGCAGCACAACTGCTGTAGGACTACAAGACTGCTTTTCTTCAGGCAGGCTGTGATTGCTGCTTTCCTGCAATTCTGTGAATCCATCAGAATTTTTCTCATCAGAACCTCCTTGCATTTCATCTGCACAAGCCTGCTTCTCTTGTGGTAGCAAGTCATCTTCCTGTGTAACAAACATGAAATGTTTTTTAGCTGTGTGTTCAGGCAGCAGTTGAAGAGATGATTCTTGGCTGGAATGCAGCAGTAATGGTTTTCTTACAACCTCATTCAAACCAGTATCAATGGGAGCAAAAATAAAGCCTTTGTCCTCAGATGTACTCGTGTTTCTTTGTAATGTAATGTCTGCTTCACCATGATTCTTTTCAGGGGAATTCCTGGCTGTGTGCTCCTCTGTACTTTCTGCTGGTGCATTTTCTTTTTGTTCTGTGTGACTGAAGGTGGGAGAATGCTGTGGTTCTCTGGGAAGCAGAGAAAGCTGCAGTTCATCCTCTTCAGAAGTTTTCTCTGTCTCATATTTGGGAAAAGGTTTTAATTTAGGTGCCATGGTACCAAAATCTTTACTTTGATTGTGGAAATAATCAGAAACAGTGGACTCTGCATTAATGTCTGCTTCACCATGATTCTTTTCAAGGGAGTTCCTGGCTGTGTGCTCATCTGTACTTTCTGCTGGTGCATTTTCTTTTTGTTCTGTGTGACTGAAGGTGGGAGAATGCTGTGGTTCTCTGGGAAGAAGAGAAAGCTGCAGTTCATCCTCTACAGAAGTTTTCTCTGTCTTAAGTACCATGTTACCAAAATCTGTTCTTTGACTGTGGAAAGAATCAGAAATAGAGTTTTCTTTTGTTGACTCTGCCTTAATGTCTGCTTCACCATGATTCTTTTCAGGGTAGTTCCTGGCTGTGTGCTCATCTGTACTTTCTGCTGGTGCATTTTCTTTTTGTTCTGTGTGACTGAAGCTGAGGAAGTGCTGTGGTTCTCTGGGAAGAAGAGAAAGCTGCAGTTTGTCCTCTATAGAAGTTTTTTCTGTCTCATATTTGGGAAAAGGTTTTAACTTATGTACCATGTTACCAAAATCTGTTCTTTGACTGTGGAAAGAATCAGAAATAGAGTTTTCTTCTGTTGACTCTGCCTTAATGCCTGCTTCACCATGACTCTTTTCAGGGTAGTTCCTGGCTGTGTGCTCATCTGTACTTTCTGCTGGTGCATTTTCTTTTTGTTCTGTGTTACTGAAGGTGAGGGAATGCTGTTCTCTGGGAAACAGAGAAAGCTGCAGTTCATCCTCTTCAGAAGTTTTCTCTGTCTCATATTTGGGAAAAGGTTTTAATTTAAGTACCATGTTACCAAAATCTGTTCTTTGACTGTGGAAAGAATCAGAAATAGAGTTTTCTTCTGTTGACTCTGCATTAGTAAAATAATCAAATGTAACTGGAATTTCTTGACTTGAAGAACTAACTGTATCTGGATCTGACACACTCATGTGGCCACTGCTTTTATCGGTGTAAGTGGATGCTGTTTCCTGCATGGTGGTGTCTGATCCATAGTTAATAGTGGTTTCAAAATAGGCACTGTTCTCATCTTCATTTTTCCCAGTCTGCTGAAGTTCAGCAGTATTGTTTGGAGACTCTGGTGGTGTTACAAATTTGTCAGTTCCACTGTCTGTGTTGGCTTCATCTAGAGGTGACTGGCACACTGGCAGGTTGTCACTGACACCAGGGTGTTCCACTTCAAAGTCTGCTAAAGAGCTACAGTCACTCATTGTGAATGGAGCCCCTTCAGCTGAAGAACTGTCACCAAATATATCAGCTGCAGCATCTTTTTCATCTGAATGTGTCCTTTTACAGTCATGCTCTGTTGTGGGAAAGTTGTCTATTGTTTCATAGATGTCTAGCTTCTCAATATCCGCATCTCTTCTGAAGCTACTGGGTGGAATAAAATCTCCAACATCACTAGGTATATTTTTGTTGCCATTTGGACAAAGTTGTTCTTCACAACTTTGCCTTCCCTGCATAAATTTTCTAGTGTGCCTGGGTTTTTTATGTGAAAGAGCACCTTTTCTTTCTGGAGAATCTGATGTAGCTTTTGTGATCTCAGAGTGCAGCAGACCAGAGTTGTTTCTTATTTTGCTGTTTGGTGTTATTTTGTTGCTGTTCTGGTAATCTGTCCTTACAAAAAACAGTCCAGTATCATAAACATTTGTGCTTTCATTACTGTCAGTACTAGTTTGGGCTTTTGAAAACACTGGCATTTTCTTCATGTTGATCTCAGTATTGCTTTGTTTCTTGTACTCTGCTTTGGGATTTGGTGAATGTACACCACTGCCAGTGACATTTTCATACACAGTAGAAGCTTCTGTAGGAAAAGTCCATGTGTTTCTTAAAGAATTCTTATCACAGTTGAACGTATTACGCTGCATATTTGTTGGCTTGCTTGCAGAAGAGTCTCTGCTCAAGGTTTCATCTGAAAAAGCTTGGTTAGAATACGTGTGTTCTGAACCTGAATTTTTGTTCCTGCGCATGAGTCTCCACAGCCTCTCCAGGTGGGGTCTAGCAAAAGCACCCAGACAAAAAGCACAAACAAATGTAATGACCACAGAGAGGGAGACAGCCAGTGCAAAGTTTGGCTCTGTATTTTTCTCTCTAAAAAGGGTGTCCCTGGTTTTTCTAACCAAAAATGCTGACACTCCTTCTTTCACTTCTATATTGTAAATCAGATATTTCTCTTTTGTTGTATTAAAAAGACACAAATATAATCCTTCAGCAGTTTTCTCAGCATTGTATATCACTAAATTATTCATTTTATCCAGTGTCATATGAGAAAGACTGTGAGTTTTTGAAATTCTGCCCTTAGGTGTCCACCAAGAGACTCCATTGCCTGAAATGAAAGAAAATACAAACTCAGTCTTTGTTAAAAGCATAGTATACTTGGGCATGTTGTTAAGAATATACTCTGGACTATCTTTCATATTTTTAACAGTTTATTATAAGCCTCATTTTCCTTTTATCCATCCTAAGTAATTTTACATGGTATGAAGTCTGTTAAAGCATATCACAGGCCTATCCCAACTGCCTCCCATCTAAAAACACAGTACATGTGGGATCTTAATCGTAGACTTTGCCAGAAAAATGGTAATGTGAGGAAGGAGGTCACTGAAATAATCTAAGCAAGTTCAGAGTTGTTCTAGAAACACCTCCTGATCTTCCTTGTGGAAGAGACATCTACAGCCAGCTGCTCTGCAGCCTGGCCATGGTCACTGTGTGCAGCTGGGGGATTAAACATCACCTCCTAATTGCCAGTGTTTCAGCCCTGTGATTTTCCTGTAGTTCCTCATCTGACTGCAGCAAAAAAAGTGTGTAAATCAAGGGAATTTGTACAGACTGAGCAATTGTTCCAAACTTGAGTTTGTGTGGGCCATGGCTGGTTGTTTTCTTTTAGCAATTTGTTTCAAAGTTGCATTTTTGGCTTTGTCTTTGCATCAGCTTTTGTTCCCAGCTGAGTTTTGCTGCAATGCAATGTGTTGATTTAATCCAGGTTTCTGTGACTTTTCTTGTAAACAGAGCAGGTGGCATTTCTGGTAGGTCCTGCATATTTTCATTGGGGATGAATTATTCCCAGGGGGAAAGCCTTACCACCTCCAAGTGCTGTTAGGCCATTAGAGTTAAACCATTTTGCCTTATGGCACATGGCAAATACACCTTCTGCTCTGAGTTTGGTCTTAGTTTTCCATCTGCATAGTAAGACTTGGCTCTTTAGATTTTGTTGCTTATATTCTCAATGTTCTCTATTAATTTTAAATGTAAGTGAAGTACAGTGGCTGTACTTCTTTAGAAGAGCTAGAAATCTTTTTCCCTGCAAATAAACCTTCAATTAATTTTGCTGTAACTGAACACTGAAAACTATTGCATCCTTCTTGGTTTTCTACATGCCTCAGAAGTGCCACCCTGCTGTTTGGTCCTTTATTTCAGTCCAAAATGAACCAATACATTTGCAATGCATTTCTTACTGAAACATATTTGTATGGAATTCAGCATCACTTCCTCCTTTAGTGTAAGGAAGGGGATGAAGACTCAGGAAACCTAACTTTCAAATGTTCTAAGCAGAATGCTACTTTCTAATGAAATATTTTTGCATGTTAAACTGTTATTTTTAAACAGTGTCTTTAGAAAGACACTTTTAAAACCAGATTTATTTGATTATTTTGCATTCTTTTGGATTTTAGTAGCATTTGAATGGAGTGCCTGATTTACATACCCCTTGTGTTGTCCAAGTTACAGGTCAGCACTGATGTGTTCCCTGTTGGGATTGTGGCCCTTTTGAGCAAAACATTGTCCCTGCAGTTTAAATGGAAACTTGAAAGGTACAGGAGAGGTTTCTGGGAGTTGTTGGCAGACTTATTGTAGGAAAGGCTCCATTTCTGCCTTGTGGAGTCAAAGACAAAATGAAAGAACTCTTTAAAAGCATTTAGCCTGTAGTTAAATATCCAGGCATTCTTTGAGAAATACACTTCAAGTTGAAAAAAGTTCAAACTGACTAGTATCTGTGGTAGAGGGATTGTCAGAGCATTCTCACGGAGATCCACGACCTATTTGGAAACAACACAGAATTAATTTGATAAGGCTTACAATGGAATTCTTATTGCAACATCTTACAACAGTGTTTCAGTGTACAAGCACTTCTGATTTCTGTGAATCTGCTTAGGATTTCAGTAATATTCTAAACTTTTTAATATAGATGAAAAGTTTAAATGGTGGTGTTTAGATTTCTCCCATTGTAGACTTACCTCTGTTTAAATAGGGAGCTGCAGAGCTCTTGCCATGGAAGGAGTGGGAGTAGAAAAGGACATGTATTGTTATGGATTGGTTTGTGGCATAGAGAAATTGTGATTTTATGGTTATATCTATTACATTTCAGCATGTGTGTTTTTCTACATATAAAAAGGAAATATATAAAATATTATTTTCACCATTTTCTCTAGTTTTTAAATGCTACACTAGTATTATAATCAGAACCATATAATCATGCCGAATAGTTAGTAAATAATATCTGTAATGATTACCATAAAATATTGAAACAGCTGTATTGCTTTAAAACCTGTAATTTGTTGAGATCTCTGAAGGCATCTGGATGAATTTTAGTTATCTTGTTGTTTCGCAGGTCAATGTCCTTCAGCTGTGAGCAGTTCTGAAAATCCTTTGGGTCAATCTGTTCTATGGCATTGGATGACATATGGACAGTTTGTAAAGACTGCAGGAGGCCTAGCCCTAGGAAGAAAAAAAATCCCTATTTTACATTTCATATTCTTGTTTTCTAAACTGCATCAAGTGTCTTTATAAAATTCTTTGCCACAAAATTCCTTCCATTCCTCACTATTGCAATGAGTGGCTGCAGCCTTTGTGTTATGGCTTTCCTAGTCAGGGGTTGTCCCATTCTAAAAGCTGCATAGCGTCAACAGCTGGCACATTAAAACATTCACAGTCAATGGATGTCTTAAAAATTGACATTTTCATAAAAGCCACTAGCGTTTCTTATCACAATGGTTCTGACTTTGATCTCTGTACTTTGAGCAAGCTTCTCTGGAGAACTGGAGGTAGGAGAGGAGTGTGAAAAGGCTAGAGTATATTGAGTTGACAAGATCCAAATATGCTAATTGCAAGTAAAAGATAGAGATGCAAAAGGTGATACAGTATCTCCTATCCACTTGCATGTGCAGTTTCATGGGAGTTTTTCATATGTGGAATTACTTGAACTGTATTCCTAGGATGTAAAACCAAATGAAAACAAAACCATGTTGTTGTCTATGCCTATCTGCCTGTGAATTATGAAGAATGACAGTGAATTCTTCAGTGCATCCCAGCTACAGTGACATCCACCTTGCATAAGGAACACTTTTGTTTGCTGGAGACACCTAATTGTTTTGAGGTGCTGTGAAGGCAGCCCCTGAAGCTGCAGCCTGCAGGGTCCAGTGGAAAGGCAGGCCCTTGAACACTCAGCATGCCCACTGATATTTAACACCACAGTGCCACTCTGAAGTGATTTTTGATCATACACTATTGTTGAGAAGCTACTAGTTCTTAACTCTTTTGCCCTTGGTGTCACCTTGTTTTCCAGAAACCTCTTTTCTCAGACAGCAGTTCTGTTTGCTGAGTTACTGATCTTTGGGTTTATTGTGAAAAGCAGAGACGATGATTCATTCCTGGTGTAAAACTAGAGGTGGGTGATAGGAAAGGCACGCAGAAGTTCTGGCACTTCATAAATTCATCAGTGTACCTACATGAGGAAATGTACTGTGGCTACTTCCCTGTATTTAAGTTTGTGCCAAAAATATACACTGGTATGGCAGCAGTGGGCAGCAGCCTTACTCCTGGGGGGAGGTAGGGGAAGGGTTTTGCTGTGGGAAACCTCTGGTATAGAACTGCATATTGTGTTTTCTTTCCAGAGCTTAAACCTCAGAATTTTAGTGAAGTACTTTAGACAAGAATAAGATTCTGAACATGTATTTAAATGAATATAGAATTTAAGTATAACTTGAAATATGGTGGTACCATGCATAGCACTTTGAACTTAAAAAACTGAGTCTCTTATAGAAGAGGACTGATCTGTCTGACCTTCTGAGGCATCCTATAATGGGCAGTCATATTTATCTAAATCCAACGAAAAAATTTTTATCTATATTAAAACAAATCAAATCTTAATAGATATATTTTTAAATGTAAGCTTTTTCTGTACTGTCTATTCAGATACCTTGTCTATACAGACACTACAAAATCATTAAATGAAATGGGTTTCCTGTGTGCCAGAGAATTATTTAATAGCAGAAAAGGAGAAAAACTGAACTTTCATGATCCTGTGTAGGGGCAAATATATTATCTTTGTGTGACTTTGTGGGATAAGTGGCATTTTTGTTTGTCATCACTTGTCCTCCTGTATTTTCAAACTCTCATTAATCTGATGGTGTTATCAGACATCAATAAATTCTACATATTGTATAGGACAGGGCTGCTCATCTGGTAGCTTCTGCTTCGTTTAAACTGTTTGGTCACTGTGACTCATCCCTGGATGAGGCTGAGCTGCCCAGCATAGTTCAGTGACCAGCAAAGCCCTTCTCCAAGTCTCTTGAAGCCTTGCAGCCCTCTCCTGTTACTCACTGTGATTGAGTATTAAACGGCACTGAGCAAAATTGTTAGTAATAAACAAAATATGTTTTCCTGTCTCTGAAATACCTAAACTACAGCAAGTTTTATTTAAGAGTGTTGATTTCCTTCTGAAGGGTAGTATGAAATTTATGATCTGTAATTTTTTTGGTGTTAAAGTCCATGTGGAGGCTGGTAGCTTTCCAAAGATCCATACTCCCCCTTTCTATACAACAAGTAAGAATACTGCTTGGGCTCTTACAGGATAAAACTGGTTGTATTTGACTGCTGTTAATGCAGTACAGTTGCTAACACTGTAATAAAAAACCTAACAAAGTAAACAAACAACCGATTTACTTCTGCCTCTGTATTTGCCAGTGGAACTTCCCCTCACCTGAAGTATAATAAAATGAGAAAGTCACATTCTGCATTCAGTAAGATGTATGAATTATATCCAAAGCCAACCTACCCCTTGGAAATCAAGTCTTTAAAGATTTTTGAAATGCTTACCTCTTGGAACCATATTAAGATTATTTCTTTCAAGTGACAATACTTTCAAAGCAGGCAGGAGACGATGAACAAGGCTGTACTTTTTAGACCCGTGTGCAGGTGCAGGCATTTCCAGTGTGAGGGTGTGGATGGCATTACCACTGAGGTTTAGAGTTTCTAAATTGGGTAAATTTGTACAAGTAGTTAAGGTGAGTTCAGAAATCAGGTTGTTACTGAGGTTCAGGTGTTTTAGCATCCACTCTTCATTTCTTCCATCAGAGCACACAAAAGTTTTAATATTATTGTAACTCAAATCAGCTGTTACTGCTGTTTGTGATGTATCTTCTGGAACAGCAGACATTCTGGTAAAAGAGCAATTGAGCAAGAGCTGCCCATCCCACCGGCACTCAGAACGGCGATGTGTAGCAGGAAGGATCCGCTGGGACTTGGCTCCCACTGATCCAGGAAGATTAAAGTAAAGGACCACAGCTATGACATGCAAGTGATAGTTATCCATAGTATCTATATGTAAAATGTAGAATTATGGTTAAATTCAGCACAACAAGGATAGAAAACATAAAGAGTTTGACATAAAAAAAAAAATCAACACCGAATAACCACAGCATTACCAACATTCTGCCTTGACCATTCAGTTTTGGAGTCTTATTTTCAAAAAGAGCATTCATAAACTGGTAACCTCCCTCCTCCCCCCATCTATCCCAAAAAACAATTAGAACCTTTTTTTTCCTTTTCCAGCCTTTTGGACGAGAAACACAACTTCTTGGGAGCTGGAGATCTAACAACAGTGGAGACTTTTGAACTCTGCTTCAGGTATTGCACACAATTACACTGAGCAAAGTCCACCACGTACAATCTATGACAAACAGGTGTGGAACAATTTTTATACTTCCAGCTGTCATATCAATAACACAACAATGTATTTTTAATGAAAAACTATATTCTTACAAATAACACTTCTGGACTGCAGCTGCATCTTAGAATTTATTGTTTTATTTCAAAACAAGCATTTGAAATTCTACTGCCTTTCACCCACTGGAACAACCACCACACTTTGAGATGGTGAGAGCTCTTCACATGCAAGTTGTTTCAGCATACCCAGCATGGCATTTTACAGAGGCATGTAGAATACACTTTATACATGCAGAATCTTAAGTGCATCTGTGGGACTGAAATAAACAGTGTTCCACTCAATGTTTTAAATACATATAAATAAATGTACCTTAGGCAGTTAGAAGATAAACAAGTAAATGCTCAACAGAGGCATGTGTGGTACCAACATTTCTCAAACTGTATAATATAAATATAAAATATATTAACAATACATAGTGGCTAGCAAATTTGATAATTTATTTCATTTGGTATTTTTATGATTGGTTTTGCTACATTTTGACCAAAAAAATCCACACTTCAAAAACAATTCTGCAGATCATGATTTAAGAGTACCTTTGTGACAAATCTTTCAGCTGTACATTGCACACAGTATTTTAAAAAGAACTCTTGATAATTACAAGAATCCAATACTAGCATACAGGCATGTCAGTATTAATCAGAGAAGAGCTTTAATATGTGTTTAACCTACTTGACCAAGGTAGTATCTGTTATTTTCAACCTGTACTTCAGCTTTGAGGATACTGCTCTTCATATTTTTTAATATGTGTTTGCATTTGTATACATAAAGTGACAAACTTCCATTAGCATGAGAGTGAAAATTCTAAAAACGTTAGTTCATTTCCTCCTCCTAACTCTAACAGATACTAATTGAGGCACTGCTTAGCAGCAGAGGTGGGTGTAAAGCAGCAAAATGAGTGTTAAAGTGTTTAGTAACTATTAACTCTGATAAAACTATGAGGTCCATGATGGAAGTATGCAAAATGTTAGTACTTCCCCACAATCTTTAACGTGAGAACTCCGTGGTTTTTGCTACGTTATATTCTGCTTATTCTGTTTGTCAGAAGAGCTCCACTGCTGTCCAGCCCCAAAAATGCAACAACTACTGAGCATCAAAATCTGGCTTTGCCTTTGAGCAGCGAGGGAAATATGACTCCTCTGACCTCCCCCATGTGCCATAATGCCTGACTGATAAACACCCATCCAAAAATCACTTCCACCCATACACATTCTGCGTGAGTGCTTACTGCCTGCCACTAAATTCAGAAACTGGGACCTTGGATATTAATTTCTTGTTACAGCAGGAGCTGATTTGTGATTTATGGAATCCTATGTACTTTGAGTGCTGTAAAACGTGGGTAGATAGTTTATCTTCTTATAACAAATAATCAATTCTGAAGTTAATGTGTAAAACTCACATAATTTTTAGGTAAAGTGCGTGCTTATTAAAAAACTTGTCAAAAAGCTGTTACAAAGTCACTTTGAGACCTCCAAGGTTACTTGACGCTACTGTAAAACAAAGTTGTTTTAAACTGAAGAAATACATGGGGTGAGGAAAGAGGGAATCTTATAAATAGCTGGTCTATTTTTAGCACAAAACACCTCACTGCTGCCAAAGCAGTTGCAAGACTCTAATAGGCCCCAGTTCACCACAGTTTCACTGCTAACAAATTCTGGTACACATGTATTTACCCTGATGTCCTACAATCCCATTTATTATTACAGACCTGCAGTTTACCTTCAGAATTTAAAGTTTTGATTTTCTCAGTAATGCATCAGTACTGACATTTATGAGGAAGGAGAGATCTATCTCAGACACTGCTGCAACAGTTATACTCAGATTATTACCTACTGATTAATGGACTCAGAAACTACTCACATTAGAACACCCAGGAAAACACTATTTTTGGGTAGTAAGCAAGTTGTAAGTACATTTTTAAAAACGTACTTTTACTATAAACATGTTTTGTAAGTACTTCACATAAATTAAGCAACTGCAGAATGCATTAACTGCACAGATAGAATGGAAGTTCAAGCAACACTTCCATAACCACAAGACTACTTCAAAATGCAAGTTAAATTTCCATACTCTGTATTACTTTGCAAATATTATTTATGATAGCATAATTTTTTAACAACGTGAGAACAAATACATGGCAGAAATAATGCGATATTTTAAAGTGAATCTGCCACTACCCCTCTTAGTACACATTTGGTAAGCCACCTAAGTTTGGGGTAAATCAATGTATCAAAAAGAAAGAAAAGTCTGCCACTTCAGCCATCCTAGGAAAATCTATTTCGAACAAAAAGTTGACATTCCTGTGGAAGTACTTGAGACTGCAGTTGTGTTCTCAGCAGTCTTCAAGGTCTTGGGACGTAGGACAAAAACCTCCTCTAGAGACAACTGTAGGCAGTAGAGCTGTTGCCAAGATCATGTTCTTTACATATATTCTACTGATCCCAATTCAAGAAGGTACTTCAGTATGCATGTACACTGAAAGCTTACAGATTCAGTGCCACTACTGCAGCTAACAGCACGATGACCTAACACTGCTGACGTAACAGCCTTTCCTTAAAAATACTGTGTAAGAAATGTTAGTATAAACCGCTGTAAAAAAAGAAACTCTGGAAGGCATGCAATTACATCCTACGGCTGTGTGTAAACACCACGAGGCTGTGCCAGGAGCAGCTGTGTCAGTGCATGGCTCCGCAGGGGTTGGCAGAGGTCTGGCAGCCCATGTTGTGCCCGGTGACCTGCACCTTGAAGAGCGTCCCGTCGGCGCACATGCACAGCTTGAAGCGCAGCCAGTTGCCGTTGCTGAACTGATCCCCGTAGGAGGAGCTCGGCAGCCGCGTCGGGCTGACCATCACACTTCCGTTCAGGATGATGCTGTTCTCCTATTGGGAGAGAAAAAAAATACATTGGAGAATTACAACTTCTAATGTAAATAAGGCAGATTGTTTTTGAGAAGGACAAACTGCTTTAATGGATAAGTAACATCTCTAGGATGGCTGTAGAATCAACAATAATAAAAAAGGTATGTGTACAAATGTTTAATTTTTTAATGAAAATTATAGTGATGCCTATGGATTTCTAGTCAGCAATGTACTTTGCTATTCCAGTGGTGGACTGATATGGAGAAAGACAGCAGTAGGGTGACTTTTCACGTTACATTCTTATTAGCAATTGCAGTAAATGTAAAATATGGACATGAAACAGGCAATTGAATTCATGATGGATTCTTGGCTGTCTTGAAAGCTTGGAAAGGCTCGGGGTGGCTTTGGGGCAGCCCGCGCTTCAAAGGACGAGAAGAGGCTTCAAATATTTTCTTGGTTTCGGTGTTTATTAATTGCTTATTTAAAAGATTTTCTTTTGGCCCGACAGAGGTCTGCTCAGCAGCCACCCATGAGCACACTCCCTGCCCTCTGGGACGGTCACCTATCTTTATACTCAAAGTTACGTATACAATATTTATCATTTTTCTCTAATACTTTTTACTCTTATTTACTAGTGCACTTTTAGTAATAACTAATCTTAAAGTGCCACCATCACCACAGAAGATGGAGGAGAAGAAGAAGAAGAAGAAGGACAGGACACGCCCCAATTCTTCTATCTTACTTCTCTAAACCCTCTTGTACAGAAATCTTAAACTCTGTGTTTCACTCTCTAATTAACTTATCTCTTCACTATTCACTCTGGTGAAATCTTCTTATCTTCATACAGGTGTCGTCTCTTGTGTAGGATTAAAGTCCAGCCACCAGACACTTCTGGCAACATTCCAGGACTCTCGAGCCCCCCAAGGGTGGTCTCGGTGACTCGGCACCTCAGTCTTCAGGTGCTGAGATCCCACAAATTCATACATGAAATTCATTCACACTTGAAAGTGCATATACCTCTATTTTTATTTTTTTCCATCACTCCATATATACTGCCAACTTAATCTCCAAAAATCTTAAAGGAATGCTAGTGAGTCTTAGAGCAGCAGCACAGAAGGTAATGCTCTAAACTATATGCACTGCTCATCTGGCAAAGGTTGTCAATCCCGGTTAAGCTTCCAGAGGAGATTTACTCCCTTTGGAATTGATGTCAATAGCTTAGCTTTAACTGCATAGTAGGTTTTTGCTGTCTTAACAGTAGTAAATCAGTGTTACCTGAAGCTACTCAACCACTACTTAACAGCAAAGTAATAAATCATCTATTTAAATCCCACTAAATATACTGACTTTTATGCATGAGTAATTTATATAAAATTTGAAGCTATATAAAGCTGCATCAGTTTACTATCAGCCTAAATTTGAAACTAAGCTGTTAAAAAAAAATTGCTTCGATTTGAAGTACTTACTGCTTTAAGTTCCATGTTTCCACCCATTCGAAACTCAATTGTCTTGCCTGTGATGAAAACACCTTCATTCCCCCGGACAATGGCACGACCATCAACCTTTATGTTTAGGTCACTGGTTGCATTGCTGGTAATCTAAGAACACAACCAAAAAGACTGTATTATGGATTAGTGAAAATGTGCCACTTGTGTTTGTCTGAGTAACTTCAATTACCCTGAAAGCAGTGCTGTGCAATTTAATAAAAAACTTGAATTTCCCTTCTGCCCACTAGCTTCTGCATATTTGTTATTTTCCATGGTGAATTTCAAAACAGAATTTTTGGAAGGTATGTAAAATTAATTTTTTGTATAAAGACAACAATTCATATGACAATTTTATGGGATACACAGCTAACACTTGTACCAAATATGGGCTTCCTGCTAAAACAGATTATGTAAATTTACCCCTCTGTTTTCACTGAATCTGTGCCTCCTATCTATTTATAGTTGTGTGTGTTTTTTCTGCAACAGGGTTGCTCAGTGCTTCCAAAGGCACACTCAACCCCCTATAAAACCACTAACTCTACTCTTACACAAACAAACAATGGGCTGTATTCTCATTACTTACAAAAAATAAGAAACATACCCTCTCTGTAGAGGCCTTTTGTACATTCAAGATTTTAACTCCATTTGGCAGATGAAACTCATGAGTTTCATAGTCAGTGCTGAACAAAGTATTTTGTGTTCGTGGGTCAACAAATTCCATGCCAATATCACTGGTGATAGAAGTTTTGTCTTTTTCCACGCTAAGCTTAGTTGTTCCTTGCTGAAATACAATCTTCAGAACAAAGGCATGAATTTAATGATGTTTCAAATGTAACATTTATCAGCAGTGTGAGTGTAATTCTCTAGTGTTGCTCACACACTTTCAATTCATGGTATAACTTACAGGCTGATTATTGCCGGTGATCACCAAGTCTTCGTTCCGTCTCCCTCCCACAGTGCTCTTATATAAGGGATGGATAACGCCCATGTCAGACACCTGCTTGAACCGCAGCAGGCCACTCTCATGGAATTCCATGCTGTCACAACCATTGGGACCAATTCTTATCACTGCCCAGATAACCAGGGTAATCTGAAAGAGAAACACATTTTCAAGGACTATGTTGATTGTTCAATTATTTTATTAATTAGATGTTTTATTTGAACAATTATTAGTGCCAGTGTTAAAGTGAGCTTTAAGTGTGAGTTGACTTTAGTTTGTTCCTACTGAAAACATCATAACACATTTAATTATGAAAAGCATTTTAAATTAGTTTTAGACTTACTTGAAACAGTAACTGAAATGATTTATATATATATTATATATATGAAATAGATATGAAATATTAAATCAATCCATACTTATATATTTTTTCTGTTTAAGGGTAATAATTAATTAAACAAATTTCCTGAACAGTTCAGCTTGGCATATATATAATATGTTGAACTGCAAGAATGCATCCTCCCAGATGGATGTACAATTATGAAAAATAATTTGTTACTTCTCATTGAACACGCAATAAAAATGTGATGATTAGAACAATGAAGCTTTAAAGTATAGTGGCTTGTTAATTCTGAATGTTCACATACAGCTCTGTAACATAAAATATAACCATGTTTTATATGCCATATAATCCTGAATGCATATGTACTAATAACACTTCTCATGAGGTGACCATTAAATACTCATGCCTGAACTTACACCACTCTTCCATCTAACCTTGCTCAGACTAAAAAAGAACTAAAAAGAGAGAAGAAAAATGAGAATCTCCTTCAGTATGTTTTAAGTCCTCAGCCATACTGAAAACTTTTTTTTACTGAACTGTCAAAATGAAATACGACCTAATGTTGCTCACACTATAGCTATTATACTCACAATCAGATTGATGATGGCCAAAATAAAAAGAACAACAATCACACATATGGCCAAATTGCCTTTCCTGCCACGTAACCCTGTCTTATGGAGACGGTCTTCATCAATTGGGATGTATCCTGCTTTGAAGTTACTGTTGTGCTCCTTATTAACATTCCTGCGTTCCACAGCCTTCTCTCGCATAGACTTCTTCACCGGGCCGTTAGAGCTTTGCTGTAACACAAGGCACGGGTCAGCTTTAAAAGGCATGTAAATTAGCTACAATGGCACACACATATGTATGCAACAAATGTAAATTGACTAGTGGGATATATTGGATATTACGTTCAGTATTAGATTTAAGTCTGGCACCAGGCTGTCAGAATAAACACTTAGAACCACAGCAACCTCTGCTAGCACAATGACTTAAGTTTAAAATTCAGATACTTTCAGACAATATATGGCTTTATATCTCATTTTTATCATGGCAGATAGGAATTATTAATTATATTGTTACAGTTAATAAACTAAAACCAGCTACCAAGAAATTAATTACCTCTCAGGGTATTGTTTACCTCTCAGGGATGATAGAGGACATAACTGGCAGGTCATCTGCCAATACAGAGGATTTTAGTTGTGCTCATATGTGACAGACTCCCAGTGACTATTCAAAAACAGTGTGGTGGATACAGTTTTTAAATTAGTTTCACAGCACAGGGTTTGCGTTCAACTCCTGTTGCTTGCATGCAGCATGGATAAAAATACTGTGAGGCTTCAAACCTGGCATGGAGAACTTGGCCAGAGAAGCTTTCATAATCTGAATTTATGAGATTGTAAGGGATATCCTGTCAACGTAACAAAGTAATAGAGGAAACTCTTGTAGGTATTCATAGTAAAAATAAGCCTTTAATGTATTTTCGTAGCTGTCCAAAATTTTGTTCCACTTCCCTTGAATGGAACGGTTTGTTATTTACGGATTCACATCTTCAAAGAAGGAGTTTGATCTTTTGGATGGAATTAAGTTTGTTCACTTGAAATGAACCATAAAACTACTCCTTAAGTAACTACACTTGCACATATCCACACTGATGCAACGAGTAACAACACCGTATTTTCTTCTGCTGTTGAAGAAAGAGATTGTGTTGACAAAGGTGCTTGACCTGGACGAGTCTGTGGAGGCTTCGCTGCCTCGGAGATGTTCTGGACTCCCTGTGACCCTGCCGAGCCCACAGGAGCTGCGGAGCCCCGCAGGCACCCACGGTGCCTCCCGCCCCCTCGGCAGCGCCAAGCGCCCCGACAGGCGCGGCGGCGGCGTCCGCGCACCGCTCCAACGCCAGGCGCCTCACACAGAGCACAGTGTTTCTGTCTGTCACACACCCACGCCTGCGGGCAGGACGGCGCCGCTCCGGGCCCCGCCCGGACAGCAGGCTCGGGCCGTCTCTCCCCGAGCCCGTCCCGTCCGAACACTGTCCGGGCACAAGGCGGGAAGGGCCGCCCGAGCGCCGTTTCTCCCCTCCCCAGCCGGACCACTCCGGCACCACACCAGCCTCGCCCACCGCGGAGAAAATGGCGCCCCCGCCCGCGCTTCCCCTCCGCGAGCAGCACCCCCGGCCGGACCGCCTGCTCCCCGCGGTCCCGCTCCCCCCTGGCCCCGGCGGAGACGGCGCCGCGCCTCGCCGTGCCCGCGTCCCGCTGCGGACGGACCTGCTCGGGGGCGGCCGCCGCCATCTTTCCCCGCCGCCGCCGCCGCCGCTGCGCGGGGCCCGCGAGCGCCCCCACGTGCCGCTCCGCGCGCCGGGTCCCGCGGCTCGCGCGCACCGTCGTTATCCGGCAGCGTCACCTGGCGGCCGCGAACCGTCCACGCGCCCCGCGAGGCGCCTCGCCGCCCCCCCCAGTCCCGTGGCACCGCCATCGCCGCGCCAGCCGTTAAGACACCACCGCGGCTGTGGAAGCCCTCGGACGCGGCCAAGCCCAGGGAAGGGGCCCGGGCTGACATTACCATCTCCATTACACCTGCGCCGCCCGAAGAATACTCTGCCGAGGGGACAGCAGAGCGAGCGAACATCTAGCCATGGCCAAAGAATTAAACAGCCTCGTGGGCGGGGGAAACACCCGGGAAGGGCAGGACTTTGAGGTGAGTCCTGCCACTCCTCGGGGCCAGGGGCAGCCGCCCTCGCTCGGCGGTCCACGGGCCGGTCTGGGACACTGCCCGGAACGCGCGTCCAGTTAGCGCACTTTTAAGACCTGTTAAGCTCCCACAGCTTCAGTTGTTTCGCTTTTTGTCCATGGCAAGGTTCCCTGAAAAGAAGGGTTGGAGGTTAAAAGTGAGATTTGATCGGTACTGGCTGTGCTTAGAAGGGAGGAGAGCGTTGAAAAACGGCCGGTGGAAGGACTACGGTTGGGGCCTAGGAACAGTCTGGAAAAAATTCACCTAGTTCTATTCCCTTAAAATAAGTTTCTTACACACCTGAGTGAGGTTGTCACTTCCTGAAGCCGTACAGCATATACTCGGCAACAGACAGCCTTTTATTTTTGCTGCACAATCATCTAAGAAAACACAAACATTAAGAAATGCTAAGAACACGTACAGAAAAAGCCAGAGTTGAGTGAGGAGTGAGAGTGAGGGAAACGGCTGCTGGAAGTGGGACGGGGTTACCCAGCATCGCGGCTCTTTTGGGGGGGGAGAAGCAGCTTGTGCGCGAGAGAGGCGGTTACCGGGCAGCGCGCGGCGCGGCCGGCTAGCGGCCGTTGACGGCAAACGGTTTCAGAAACGGCAGGCGGTACCTGCGGAGCGCCGTTAGTTGAAGAAGAGCTGCCGAAGGGGTGAGATGGAGTCCATCCAGGAGTGACCGGAGGTGAGCTGAGGGGGTGAAACAGTGGAAGCAGTAGAGAAAGTGTAAAATTAGGGAAAGGTGAGACTTCACAGCAGTGACTTTGCTCAGTGGAAAAAAAATCTTGATAGAATTTTCGGTCCGGCATCCCCAGATGTACCTTCAGGATGCAGCTAGTTTGTCACGAACTTGTAACTACCTACTGTGTATGCTGTGGCTGGTGAGAAAAGAAATGCAGTGTTTTCAGGGGAAATTAGTTTTTTTCTTTTACTTCATGGTTGAATAGGAGTTACAGTTACATAACCGGTGTAACTGTCGGCAAGATTCAAGGCAAAGGGCGGTTTTAGGGGGGTTGGGAGTAGCCGGTAAAGCTACCACAGAGGAGGCCGGAGAAGGAACAGTGTCGTGTATTTCAAACTCTTGCAAATGGTTGTTGGAGGTAGGCCTTAGGAGGGCCGAGCGGCAGTGGGAGCTGACCTCTCCATCAAAAGTTGGTTAGGAATAGACAAAGCAAGATAAGAGCCTTATATGTATTATTTCAGCTAATATGGAAAACCAGATTTTGGGCTATTTTTTAAAATCCAACAATCTGCTGGATTATTATTTTAATAACTGTTGGAAGATTTTAACTCAACTTGTGGTTACATCCTCTTTATGATGGAAAAGGAGTATGCTTTCTCAAGTAGTGAATGAAGTGGGTCATAGAAGTCCTGTTTTGCTCATTGGCCTATTAGAAATGAGTATTCAAAAATGAGTATTCTAATGGATCCAGTAGGAGAAGGTTGGGAAGATGTAATTATGGGGGAGAATGTGCCATGATTGTAACAGGAGTAACTTTAAGTGAGAAAGCCCACACAGATGTCATAATGCACATTATTAACAGGGGAATTCTGCTGAGGAAAATCTGAGCCGATGCTGTCAAGTGTTAGAACCTGAACAAGGCAATTCAAAAGCAGCTCTTCTCAATTCTCAATGAAACATCCCAAGGAGGTAAATTGATGCCTTGTCCAATTACTTACACATTTCACATGTGCCATTTTTTCCAACTCTGGCTTTTTCTGTACGTGTTCTTAGCATTTCTTAATGTTTGTGTTTTTAGAGGATTGTGCAGCAAAATTAAAAGGCTGTCTCCTGCCAAGTATATGTACTGCTTCAGGAAGTGACAACCTCACTCAGGTGTGTAAGAAACTCATTTTAAGGGAATAGAACTAGGTGAATTTATACCTGCGGAAGTGCTTTAATGACTTTCTGTTAATATTAGCCTCCCTCAGATTTTACATAATGAAATATATCCTTAGTTGCTTATGGAGACACCTATGGAGACGACTATGCTATTATGGAGAGATTTGCTTTGTATAAGAAGTCTGTGTTATTATACTGCTTTCCTTTTCTAGGTACAGATTTTCCATTTACATTTATATTTCAGAGCCATAATAGCAGTATTTATGCCATATCTCTTTTAGAAAAAAAGAGCACTGTGAAAATACATGTGTAAGCTGAAGGTGTGCATAAACTCCATGCATTAATCTGTGAGCTCCTTTTTTTTTTTTAAGGAAAAAACTCTAAGGATATCTTAACATTGTATTATATCCTGGAGTGTTTAAAAAAAAGTGTTCATGTGTGTCATGAAAGCACTATGCTCCTGCCATGATATTTGGAGTTCATATATATTTGGTATTCACTGAAGGGGTTGTAATACTAACAGTTTGATACTAACAGAAAAGACAGATCTGTTGTGGCTTTATAGTTTGAATGAAAATAAGAGACTTTGCTAATTCAGGCTAGGGGAAGATCTTCAAGATCCTGAGATTTGATAGTGATGTCTCCATGTTCTTTGGTTCCTCATTTTTACACCTCATCTGTCAAAATATTTCACAATTAAAATAGGACAAATAAAAAGTGATATCCTTTAAGAGTTAGAGTCTATTATGAATCAGGAGTGGTGGTGTGCCGAAACCCTCCCGAAATATAAAACAAGAAAGTTATTAAATGACATTACACCAGGAATACCAGTTGCAGGTTTGTAATTGCATGTGACATTCAAAATTTAAAGAAAAGCCCGTTGCACAGTTACTAATTTAATTCCAGTACTAGCTGGCCATTTTATGGGTTGTTAAAGGCAGCTGCATGTATAGTAGTGTGCTTTCTGGAATGATACTTGCCTTCTGTGTTCTAATAACTTTTCGTTGTTTTGTATACACGAATTCCCAAAAAGTTTACTTGAGTTGGTCATTTAGTCAATCAGGAGTTGACTAACTGAAAAAAACCAACTATGCAACACATCTGCAAAAGGCTTTGTTCTGATGATTCGGGCAGTAAATCTGCATATGCTGACCTTCCATAATTTCTACCATGAAGTATAAAAATAAGTGAATATTTTACTTTCTATAACTGAGTCTTTCTTTGGCCTGAAGGGTATTGCTTATGTCTCAGAGAGAACGCAATAGCTTTTTTTCTCAGTTTCTTTAAAAATGGTCATTGCTGAAATATTTAGAAATACATCTGCCCTTTATGCTCTAGTACTTTACTGAGGGAATTTATAAAGTAGAATATTCAAGCAGTGTGACTTCATTTCCTGGTAGGAGTCAGCTGAAGGAGAGCTACAGCTGAGAGATTTGTCCTGCAAACCAAGGTGTGAGCTGCAAGAACTGGAGGACAAACTAAGTGAAACTCGTGTGCAGATCAACCAGATGGAACGAGAGTAGGGAGATTAACTGCAATTTTTTCTGTTTGCTTTTTGTTTTTTTTTTCTTTTCCCTTGATGTCTAAATATTGATGGAGATTTGTAAAATGTTTTATTTCTGGCCTAAAACCAGAGTTTCAAAATGCATTGAGCTCTGTATTGTGTGTATATATCCAAAGTGGGGTACAAATGATACAGTCACACCCACATTCATAAATTCACTTGGTAAGTTTCGCTTTTGACAGAGGTGTTGAAAGACATGCCAGTATTCTACATAAAAAGGTTTTGTATAGCCCATGACAATCCCTTGTGGAGTTATAGTCTATGAAATGTTGCATACTAAGCAAACCCTAAATAAAAAAAAAATCAATTGAGTAGCTACAGTGTAACATTTATTAAAGGACCTACAACATGTCACAATTAATTATACAATGTAATTGATACATAAATGTCCAAGAAGATAAAAGCCACTGTCATAAGATGGAGGAAGTCACTCATCATCACCAGATCAGTGACTAGGCCTGAAGAGTTTTTGTCTAGTTGCATAAAACATATTTTATGGAGCATTATAATATAAAAGTTAGAAAATTGCTTTAGATACAAGTTAGTGCAGTTATTACCAGTTAAGAGGCAGCTCAAAGTGGCAGACACATTCTCATGCATCCTATTACCATGAGAACAATGAACGTTCCGGAAGTCTTGGGTAAGTACATCAGGTGATATAATTTCATGCCCTTACTAAGTGATTCCAAGAATATAATTTTGGAATTCCCCCATGCCTACTTCTAGAGCTCATCTTCCCAAATCTGCTTTTCTTTCCCAATTGTCCTTTGTAGTAGAATTCTTTAACCCTCTTTTACTAATGTTCTGCTAGAAGTCCTTCCTGAAGGAGCTGATGGATGGAACTGGGCAGTCTTTCCTCTTAGCAGATGTTGCTGGCCTTATTACCTGTGGTCATCTCAGTCAGCTTGTTCCTTAAAAAGGTGGAACAAGAATCCTGTTGATAAGTGTTAGAGCTTTTGTTGATTCAGAGTCTCAAAAAAAATCTCACCAGGGTCCTCCAGTAAGGAAAAGGAAGGACAGAGTGAATACCTTCAAAATAAATAGAAAACATATTTTCTTTTTGCCTTCCACTTCTGGTAAGAGAAAAGCAACAGTAATACTGGTATTTGGATGGAAAGCAGAGATTTTGGGATAGTTTTTATTATTAACTAAGAGTAAAGGACAGAAGATAAACTTGTTTGTTTCACTGGTTGTCTGCCAATCTTTAAGAATCACTCCCGCTTTTGGGGACAGCAGGAGAGGAATTGTTAGCTTTTGGTATTACTTGACTAGCATCTCTGATGTCTTTTGACTGACTAATATATTTCTGCAAAGAAAAAGAGCCCAAGAACCTGGTAGGAGACAATACATAGGTTCTTAATCTATAGGAAAGAAAACTGAGATGGTTTAGTTAATGTCTTAAATGTGAGAAAGAAATTAGTTTCTTTTAGACCTGATCATCTGAGCTAGTATAAGGATGCCAAATGTTAACCAGTAATTGTTCCTATAGCACACAGTGCTATATCCACTTTCCTGCCACAATACACTTACACAATTTAAAGTAAGATCAAGGGTCTGCTTTGTTTCATTTGTTTTTAAACTCTGGATTTTTCCTGTATTTCAGTATAAGGAAAGCATGCTGAAATTATTCAGCAAGCCATAAGGAGCTTGGTCAATAATTTTCCTATTTTTTTTGCTCCTTTTGTTTGATGATGAGGATTAATTGATAGATAGTTTACGTTGATAGAAGGACATCTTGTGACTGACTGTTCTGTGTCATTAAGTCTGAAGGCTTCCCGGTGCAACATAAGGAGGCTAGAGGAACTAGATGAGTACGAGCAGAAGATTGAGAACTTGCGGGATGAGATTGCTATGCTGGATTGCAAAAAGTCTATTATCCAGAGCAGGTAGAGACCTTACTCAGAGAAGTCACTGAATCATAGAAATCGGTCATGTTAGGTAGCATGAATTTCTTCCTCATTTAAATTGAAATATAAACAAAACCCAAGGTTTTTTGCTTTGTTATGAAGGAACATAAACTCTTTAGGTTATTTGTTCTAGTGCCCAAATATTTTATTTTAAAGCAGTTATGTTAGGTTTCAGACAAAACAGCAAATAATGCACCTTTACAAAATACATGGAGAGCAACTGTATGAAATTGTTCTTTTGTTGATGAGTACTTTTATAGAGTTCTGCTCTGTAGTTGTAGTATTCAATTTTTACTTGTTTGACTTCAGCAGTACTCTTCGGTGGTACTAAAAGAGGAACAAATCTCCAAAATATTACTAGTGAAAAGTGTGTTTCCTAGGAACAAAGTGCTTGGCCTTATATGCTTTACATGTTACTTTTCTTTTACTGTATATGCTGTAGGCCATAAAACATTCTATGAAAATGCCTTCATATTAGACTAACCAGCTGTAGCTTCTTTAATTACTTGGCTCAAAACTCACCTTACCCTTGTAAAAATGAAATTGACGAAGAAGTCTGCCATAGGGAAAGCATCTGAGGATGGTAAAGTGACATGAAGCTTCTTTGCTTGTGTGTCGTAGGCTTTCCCGCTGCACTCCTCCGCCATGCCGTCGGAGGTGTTTCTCTCCACCGTGCCGTCTGAGGGGCTGTGTCTCTCCTCCACCGTGCGTTCCAAGGGGCTGTATTTCTCCTCCAGCATGCCTTCCTAGGGCCTGCTCTCCATGCCGTCCAAGGGGCTGCTCTCCATGCCTTCCGAGGGCCTGCTCTCCATGCCCTGTGAGGGGCTGCTCTCCATGCGGACCCTGCCGTCCAAGCGCCTGCTCTCCATGCCCTGTGAGGGCCTGCTCTCCATGCCGTCCAAGGGCCTGCTCACCGTGCCCTGTGAGGGGCTGCTCTCCATGTGGACCCTGCCGTCCAAGGGCCTGCTCTCCATGCCTTCCGAGGGCCTGCTCTCCATGCCCTGTGAGGGGCTGCTCTCCATGCGGACCCTGCCGTCCAAGGGCCTGCTCTCCGTGCCTTCCGAGGGCCTGCTCTCCATGCGTACCCTGCCGTCCAAGGGCCTGCTCTCCATGCGGACCCTGCCCTCCATGCGGACCCTGCCGTCCAAGGGCCTGCTCTCCATGCGGTCCCTGTGGTCCCTGTGGACCCTGTGGTCCCTGTGGACCCTGTAGTCCCTGTGGACCCTGTGGACCCTGTGGACCCTGTGGTCCCTGTGGACCCTGTGGTCCCTGTGGTCCCTGTGGACCCTGTGGTCCATGTGGACCCTGTGGTCCATGCGGACCCTGTGGTCCATGCGGACCCTGTGGTCCATGCGGTCCCTGTGGTCCCTGTGGACCCTGTGGTCCCTGTGGTCCCTGTGGTCCATGCGGACCCTGTGGTCCATGCGGACCCTGTGGTCCATGTGGACCCTGTGGTCCATGCGGACCCTGTGGTCCGTGTGGACCCTGTGGTCCAAGGCCCTGCTCTCCATGCATACCCTGCCGTCCAAGGGCCTGCTCTCCATGCATACCCTGCCGTCCAAGGGCCTGCTCTCCATGCGTACCCTGTGCTCCACGGGCGGGCTCTCCATGCCGTCTGAAGTGTCTCTCTCCACCGTGCCTACCATGTCGTCCAAGGGCCTGTATGAGGCCCTGTGCCAGGCCCTGTGTGAGGCCCTGTATCTCTCCTCTGCCGTGCCGTTTGAGGCCCTGCGTAAGGCCCTGCGTGAGACCCTGCGTGAGACCCTGCGTGAGGCCCTGTCCTCCCAAGTGCCGTGCCCTTTGCCCAAGGCCCTGTACACCTCCCCGGATCAGGCGGGGCAGTGCTTCACACCGTGCCTGCCTCATAGCTCGCTATAACTTCATTTACGCTAAAGAACGCTTGGAGGCAGAGTGCATTTTGAGGCGATACGTCTGTAACTTGGAGACGGTGCAGAGGATAGTATACATTGCATGTGTGGTGAGAAAGAAATATTATTTCTTATTTTACAGGCTGGTTGTGTCTTGTAAAATACTATGTCTGCAGTGGTTTAAATTGTGGGTAAATTAGCATTTCTGTCAAGTGCAGAGAAGAAAAGCTTTTCTTTATTTTGATTTTTCTTTCTTCCCCTCACATTTCTACATTGAACTCTCAATGTAGTGTCCTACCTGACCTGTCCCAAGATGGGAACAGGGTCAATGATTTATTGTACGGATACTAAAAGAGTGAAATTTAGTCTGAAATTGGTCAAGTGATTTGGTCTGAAAAGTACATGGTATCTGCATTGATCAACATTGCCTTCTGCAAATAAATTACACTCAATCAGAGAATTCCTTCCTCATGAGTTAATTTTCTCCTCTACAGCAATGTATTATATTCCTCCTTGTTTTGATGATAGTGGGTTAAATTATTAATTTTCTCAGATATCAGATAAAATATTAAACTGGGTCTGCTGTTATTTAACTTGATGTTCTTTACTTTTGCAGGAATCTTTCCGTGCGGCAAAGATGGCCTTCTGGAGGGTGAAAATAAACGTAAAAGACACTTTGGGTATATGTTTCAGAGGGGGACCTACGTCACTTGAAGTTGCTGTCCTGGATTATATAGCTTGCCACAAGGATCTGTATGACGTTTGTTGCAGTATCCATGTAAGTCAAGGGGAGTGGTGATCTCTTTCAGGAGCTAGTAAATTCAGAATATGTAAATTAGAAATGCACTGTAACCTGAAGGAGAAAAGAGTTACTGTATGGACTTTGTCTTGTAGCAGTTTATTTTCTAGAACAACATTGCTAGGACTAGTATATGTATGACTTAGTAATGGCTTGCTTGGTTTGTTCATAGCAGCATATTCTTTCTGATGTTGTTGTTTTCTGGAATAGTCCAGGCCAACATTACTATGAGTTTTTTATACTGATTTTTAAATGTAGAAAGCTGAGAGGCATATTTAGGGGGGATTTCTGCAGTTGCTTGTGAAAAAATTGTTAATGAGTGCAAATTACTCATGTATGTTTATTTTCAGGAAGTAGTTTGCTGCATGAACAGGAACCCAAAGCTTCCATGTCCAGGAGAACTGGATTTCGTTGTGATCAGCAATTTGATTCGAGAGGTGTGCTGTTTGGCTTATTCAATGCAGACTCTCATTCCTCCTCTTGATATTGCCTATGGTGTTGATGGAGAATGCTTCAATAGGAACATGTAAGAAATTTCTATATTCAGTCAGACTTACCATTAAAAGTTTTGTAGTCTACTTGTTTCCTAATTAATATAGCAGTTCACGATTGCTAAACATGAATTTAGGGCAAAACCCCCTGGCCTGTAGTGAATTTGGTATGTCTTTAAGGTAAATACTAGCATGTACATAAGCGTCAGCAATTTTTTTTTTAGTGAACAGCAGAGCAATTTTCTGGATAAATTTCACTCTCAAGAGCATATTTAATTTAAGAATTTAAGAAGAAAATGATTATCAGCTTTCCCTGCTTAATCTCTATCTACCTTTTAAAAAATGTTTGCATCTTGTTCCTCCTTACTGGCCTGTTCTGTAAAAGTCATATTTACTGAGATCTTGCAGTCGGTGTCATTACCAGGGTCATCAACAATGTTTGCTGCAACCTCCAGGCAGCGGCTACTGTACAACATACGACTGTTAATATGCTCCCATCTCTTCTGGTTTAGAGGTGGTCAAAACCAAAACTGCCTCTTAAAAATGAGAATTTTGTTAATAATTTTTCTTTTTTCTATAGGGTCAAGTTGCTTTTTTAGCAGAGATCTGTAGTGTGCTTCCATGTTGTCTAGAAAATAATTGGAATTGATAAGTCATAAAAGTTGCTCTAAAAAGCAAAATACCTTACATCACTAAGAGGGTTTCTAGTAATAATTTAGAATAGAATGGAACCCAGGTCATGAAGAGCTTGAGAAGTCAAGCAGAGAAATAGAGAATATGAAAGTAGACTCGGACGGGAGTGCAAAATCATACAGGACTACTCAGTGATCCTATCTGAATATAGGACAGTTAGCTTTTGGCACTCAAAACTATTGGCTAAATTAGGAAGCATGAACACTGTAATATAGTCTTGAGATGCTTTCTCCACCTACTTGGTGTGTATGGCCTTAAGAAACAACATTTATTATGTTTTTGTGTGCTGCTGTGGGAGACATGTACATCTGTCTATCTAGCTAGATAAATGTGGCATATGTATATGCTTACATGTATAGGATTTGGATGTGGTACACAGAGATGGAGCAAATAAAAGTTGTAGAAATTAAAATATATCTGTTTATTACATGTGATAGCATTCTACAAAGAGCCAGCCAAACATCGTTGTACCCTATACCTTGCTTTGTGCCTCAGATTATGACATTGTTTTATATAACTTACTATTGTAATTGATTACTTAAGTATAGATGCATTGCTTTTAATACAATTTATATTATTTGGTATTTGTTGTGAGTTTGAATCCATAAAGCCAGATGTGTTATTTGTCCTTATAGGGGGCTTGTTCTAGCAAGATATTCCAGGAAGCGGGGATGACTGTGTCTGCCAAATTGCTGCTCAGAAGGTTTAATCTGTCAGTGGACACAGGGGCCCTGGCTTGTGTGGGGCTTATGCAAAAATTAAGGTCTAGTGGCCTTCTGAAGTGTTAAATGGCTTTATTAGAATGTCTGTCAGGATAAGTAAACAGTATGTTCTGCTAAGTCTGTCTTCCAAGTCCATTTCTTTTACAGGATCACATAAAGAATACATATTTTTGTGATGTGGAAAGATACTAGTAGCTGCTTTTTATCAACATTGATGATTTGGAACATATTTCTCTTTAGGCACTTACTGCAGACATTTCTTGTGCTGTTTGTTTCAACAGGTACTATCGTAGCTTTGACTCTGATTTCGCAGCTCCCTTTGTGGCCTATCACGTCTGGCCTCCTCTGGTAGAAGATGGCACTGTTATAGTGAAAGGAGAAGTAGTCACTAAAAAAATGGTTATGGTACGTATTTTGTTAAAGAAAAATGTTAAGGGAAAGTCAGTGGATCTCAACACTGTTTTTAAAATTTAAAAAGATAAGTTTTTAACTGTCCCCTATATGGGTGGAGTAGTATATCAAACATCAATTAGGTTTTAGTGCCTCATCCTGTATATAGGATGAATAGTTCCATTTTCCTTCATGTATTAATTATGCAGATATATGGTTGTTGTCAGAACCTGTTCTAAGCAGAAAGCTTACTGTGTTTCCTCTCTGTCTTCAAACCTTGTCTCCAGTATGGCTTGCAAAGTGTGTCTTTATTAAGCCTTCTTTCTCAGAAGAGGTTTACTTACAAGAGCCTACTTTTCTCTTGTAGTGTCCTCGCAGATGCAGGATTAGAAGCAGAAGCTGCAGCTGTGGCCGTCCTCTGCTGTGTGGTCAAGTAAGCCTCAGCTAAATGTTTGTAGTGTTAACAGCATCAAGTATTTTTAACTAGGAATGTAGGCAACCTGTTAAAAATGCTGATGTGCCACATGTACATTTTAACACTGGGAATAAGTGCCTTTGCTTGATGGTCTCGAATGAGGTGAAGCTGAACTGACAGATAGTTATTGCCTGGTATAATGATCAGTAGAGATACTGTATGAGAAGTAGATCATAGTTAAATTCTCAGAAGCATCAATTGTGTATCTTGGAATGGTTTGCCCCTACTCTGCTTTAGTGCCCTTCTGAATAAATAATTGCATCATCTGGAAGTGTTTCAGTAATTTTGGAGTACATATACAACACATAGTTCCTGCCTCCTGGACTTATTGACCTGAATTTACTCCTAATTTATGAAATGCATCAAAGGGGCCAAAAAGAAATGTAGGGTGAGCAGGAAGGGAAGGTGGTACAAATAAGATATGTGAAACTTCAGCAGAGTTCTGCATATTGTGTGGTTACAAAACGTTTTTTAATTATTTCTGTTAAAAATGTGTATATTTTTCTAGTTGTTGGCCCATCTTATTAAATGGACATAGGTGCCCTCAACTTAAAATATGAATATTGAAAATGTGAGAGGCTTTGGGTAGGGCTCCCTTTTTTGTGTGTGTGCAGGATGTGAAAGAAAACTAGAAAGTTGTTGAACTTGACTTTGTAACAGTAGAGCTGCAATGATAGATGTGCAGATTTTCTGAATGTTGATGGGTGCCCAGGTGACTTTTTTGGTTACAGTTCTTTAGCACACCTGATTTTCCTTTTCTCTTTGTCTTGCAGGTGCCTCGAAGCCGCAGTCTTTCAACAGTGAGGGTCAGAAGTAAGTGGCATATTGGTTCCTAGTGACTCATGGTTTTCACATCAAGCCCTTGAAGGGCTGAACAAAAGAACAAAATTACATGTTGAATGTCTCTGATTCTAAAATACTTGCCGAAGTGTTAAATTGGATAGCCCCCTTTTTTTTATGGGTGGAAAAAGGCTGAGATTTTTTACTTGGATGAAAGCTTGTTTTTTCACTCTACTTGGACCATTGTCATGATTTCTCTCTGCTGGTTGCCTTCACTGTGGCCTGTGCTGTAGTAAGTAAAACTTGCTTCCTTCCTTACACAAGAGACAGTTTGCTACTGTACATCTGCTGTCTTCCAGCCTTTCAAATTCCAAAGAGATGGCTAAGTTGTGACAGTGAAGTGAGGGATTTCAGGCAGTATGAGTGTGTGCCTATCTTGAAGCCAACCCAACATAGAGATTTAGAAAATATAGTTGCACTGAAATGTACCTTTTTCTTCCATAGGGCGCTGCTAACTGGACATCTTCCTGCAGTGCAACACAACTGGATTCAACAACTTTGCTGGTGTCGTTTCTCTTCGGAAATACCTCAAATCTCTCAATAAATGGCGGTTGTCACTCCAAATGGAGTTTGTATTCAGTGTGATTTTTAGAATTATAGAAGGCTTATTTATAATTTTAGAAACGAAACACTTTTGATTTAAAAAAAGTGCATTCAGTACAGGATCATTTGGCAAAATTTGCAAAGCGGTCAGGAAGCCATGATGTAATCTTGCAGGTGGAGATAGAGTTATTGCATCTAGAATGTTTGCTTCCCTCAGATTCCAAATGATGCAGTTTATCTTACTAATTAAACATCTTATATTAAACATCTTTATAGGATGTTTAATATAACCTAAATGGTGAATGTTGCAGAATGTTGAGGTTAGCTGTTACTTGAACAAAATGTAATTAATTGGTTCTTGTTTACAATTTTAGAAAATAGCAATAATCATAGGATGTGGCAGTCTCACACAGCAGCCTTTTAATATATCCCTGTGATAAAGTGAATTTTCTAACTGCAGTGCAGAAATTGCACAGAGCAGTCATAAACTGCCAATACTCCAGCAATCCCCAGGGCTTTATTGACATTTATGGATGAATGCTCACATGTTCTTTAGCAAGGCCAGTAATAGTCCTGGTTTAAATACATTCTAACTTAGAAATTATTATAATAAAAATTTGTAGTTTGATACTAGAAGTATTTTGAAAGTGTGCCACTGAGTATTTGTAGGCTTGAAATATGTGAGGCCTCTTCAGTATCACACTTAGTGGGCTTTCATACTGTATTGATAGATCAGTGATTGTGAATACAGTGAAAAAATCCTGTCTAGTTATTTCTTACTGTAGGCATTTATTGCACTTTAAGTGTAAAAATTGGAGAGACCTGAAGAGATGTAACAGTGATAAGATGTGGGATGACATGCCATCCCATTCATACTAGTTGGCTCTCTGAGCCAGAAAGAGATAACCAGAGCCTGGAGAGGGTGTGCAGTTCAGTGAACACCTGAAGGAATAGCACCAAGGAATTCCAGCCACTGCAGTCAGAGTTTCACCAGGGGCCCAGCTTAAATCCTCTATTCTAAAAAAAGCGGGTAGGATGGGAAGTAAACAGGAGAAACTAGAGATGTACGCAAGCCTGCAGGGCTATGGACCATATTGGCATCCTGAGAAGTGGTGGGATGATTCCTGTGTCTGGAGGGCTGGAATGGAAGGGCAGGGGCACTTTATGAAGGAAAGGCATGGGAGATGAATGGTATTGCCCTCTCTGTCGACCAGCTGGAGTGCATGGAGCTTGGCCTGGGCATGGGTGAGGAGCTGACTGGGTAAGGATCAAAGGGAGGGCTGGAACAGGTGTCATTATTAGTGAGGAACTGCTGCAGGCCACTTGGCCAGAAAGACTGAGTCAATGAGGCCCACTGCAGCCCACTGTGATACCCCTACTTGGCTTAGCTGGGAGGAGCTGGCTAATAAAGAAGAACGGGAATGATGGAATAGCTTGGAAAATTAAACCTTTAATAATGAAAATAACGGTGGCACAGGGTACAGAGGCTAGATTCCAAAAACCTTTTGGATGGGGCAAATGCAGCCAGGTATAGGGGCACAGGTCCAATCAGGAAGGTGAACTCAGAACATGACCTTATAAGAAAAAAATTCTGACCCGACAGAGGAGGAAAACTGGAAATGACCAAATATAGGAAGGTTCTATTACGTACTACTCACAAGAACCTATAGTTCCCACTGTGACCTAATCAGATCACCCCCTCAGTACACTATCTGCCATGGTCTGAGGTCAAAACTCTCTGTAAAAGCATCTGAGGTAAAGATCTTAGCAGGATGAGATTCCACAAAGAACTGTCTGCTGTAGGAGGAGAATGAGTCTGAGAACATCTCAGGAACCTGAAGGTGCACAAGTCCCTGACATGTGGTGAGTAACATCCACAGGATCTAGCCAAGGAAGTGACTGAGCCACTGTCCATCGTGTTTGAGAAGTCATGGCAGTCCCATGAAGTTCACATAGACTGGAAAAGGGCAAGCATAACCCCCATTATTAAAAAGGAAAGAAAGAAGACCCACTGCTTGTGGGAAAACCAGATGCATCCTCATTGTTTACACTCTGCAGGACAGATAGACATTTTAAATGTAAAAAGGTGTCAGGTGCTCTCTGGTTTGTGAGATGTTTTTGACTCTGCAGAAACTGAGGGAAAAAGCCATTAAAAGGAGAGGAGGCACAAAATCAGATAAAAGAGTCTGAAAAGGTTGCCAGAAGAGGCAGGGTTAAGATAGGACTGGCCACTGTGCGTGTGTAACGCGCAGCAGAGCCGAGGACTCACAGCATGGACTTGGTTGGTGAGGCTATTCTTGCTGGACAATGCAGAGTAGCACTGCTTGCAGTTGGGCTGAGTGCTCTGCCTCATGCCCATGGGACCCTCCTGGCAGGATGCAGGACTTGTGGTCCCTAGGCACATACCCAGACAGGGGCTGTGGTTTGTAGAACACCTCAGAGCAGAGCAAAAATCTTATGAAACCTTAACAGAGTGACTAGAAAGGGATAGTGGGCATTTTAGATGAAAGTTTATGTATTAACCTGAGGGAGCCAACTTAGGGGGAAAAAAAATTACATCTCTTTTTCTTGAGGAATTTTTTGTCTTAAGAAAGGCTCTGTGCTCCTTTGCCCAGAACAAGACAAAAACCTGAACATTTCCCACTAGATGGCACTATTGCCTTAAGTACAGAAAAATCGGGTTTTAATTTCAACTGCAGTTTTAAAAGCTATTGCCATAATGAAGTTTCCCAGTAAATGCATAATAGTCACAGATTGAAGCAATATCAACAGACGTCAGATGGAGAATTATGATGTCAAATTAGCTTGCTGATAGCACAATTGAAGTTTGCTGCCTAATAAGAATATGAAAATCCTTATGTATTGTAAGATGAACATGGTTATCAATACATTATTGGAGAAACTGTTTGAGTTTAGGTATTTTCCTGTTGAGGGGTCAATTTTTCAAAATTACTTTAATGAGTCTTTCCAAACTGAATGGTTTTTATCTGCTTATATTATGACCAATCTTCTCAAAGAACATATATAAAAAAAATCCCAAACTGAAATTCAGATTGAAAATTAACTTCTCTTAACATTTGTTCTTTTAAAATTACTTCCAGTTCAAGAAAATTACTCTAGTTCTTTTAAATTTTCTATCTAGTTAAAGAAAATGGCGGTTTGCAAAATTGTTATCTTGTGTGTGATTTTTCTGTTGCAATGGCTGACTGGCAAGTTGCTTCGCTATTTCCTTTGTCTATGACTGAAATAGATGTTTTTGAACACTGCAGACTTTTAAATGAAGTCTGCTAAGTCTTTGAATCAGGAAGGTACTCCCTGCTTTTAGCTGCACCTCTGTTCATTTTCTAATCAAAGACAGAGTCAATTGCACCTGCTGAACCCTCAGGATACAGCTGGAGGGAAGGCTGCTGTCACAGCGACTGGTTTGGGTAATTATGTTCTTCAACTTATTAATTATCTTTTTAAAAGAAAGTTTGTTTAGCATCATGCTCTATCTTTAATTGCAGTGTTGGTCCAGAGTGTCATTTCTCTAATGCTTGGAAGTTTTCTTCTGTATCCAGCCCAAATGTATTAATTTCCTATAGCCAAAGAGGCTATACCTCTTTGTTCTTCTGCCAGTGTGATTAACTTCAGAAGTCCTCATTCCCTGCCTTTGGTATTTGCCCTGCTGTTGAGAGCAATAATCTTTTCTCCTCTGAACTAAAACCACCAAATCTTTCCATCTCCTGTGAAGAGAGGTTTTTCATTGCCTTGATTATCCTTTTTGGGTGGCTTTGGGTTTATTTCTGTTTCGTTCCTCTTTCTTGAGTACAGATGACTAGAAATGGTGCCCAGTATTCAGGATAAGGCCTGACAACAGCTTTATATCATACACTTATCATTTTCATTGTACCATTGTAGCGTGTCTGTGGCAAGTGGCTCATTATCTGTGATCAGTTAAGAAGCTTTATTATCCTCAGTTGTTTCAAATTGATGAGTCCTTTCCCCCCTAGAACTTAATTCACCCACACATTTTTGGCGGACTCTTGATGTCTAAATGCTTTTCATATGAATGGCACGGTTGTTTTAGAAATGCTGAGCTTTGGGCATCCATTTGCACACATACCATGACAATGTGAATGCCATAGTGCATCGTGGTGTGTTCCTCTATTGCTAAAACTTACTGCAGGGTGATTCTATGCATTAAGCAGCCTGAACAGATTTTAGTAACCAGCCTTACAAAGTTTCAAAGTAGCTACTTGGAGCTTGATGATGCAAAGGAAAATATCTTACTTAACTCTATTTATGTCCACTTTAACAAGAGAAGAAATAAATGTGAACAGTATCACTAGAAACTAGTTGAAATACTGGAGACCATTCAATGGACACGTGTCTGTCAATATTAACAGAATGAAATACCAGAAATTCCTCATGAAAAGAATAGAAGCTATATACCTGATGGTTTGCAGCAAGTAACATTGAAATATTTTATAAGTCATCTAAACTTGCCTTTTGATTTATTGATGACATGGCTCTCATTTCATGAGACATGATTTTTTTCTTAGTTGTATTTGCCTACCCCTTAGATTTGATGAGGGCCTTCCTAGGCATCTCCAAAATATATGTATAACACTTGTCAGAGAAAAAATGACCCTGCTAAAAATAATTTCTGCCATGATTCTGGATTTGTGCTGTTTATCTGTAAGTCCTGGGTCATCCAGAGTTTTGAAGTCTGCTCTCTTGGTTGAATGGCACTTTCCCCAGGCTATTTTGTGCCATTGCTTCTTGTCTGAATCATGCAAACAGTAACAGGCATCAGTCAACATGTACAGGTGCCTCTGTCAGTGAAATACCCTGTTCATGTATCTAAATCTCTGTGCACCCACAGGATGTGGTCATTGTTCCCATGGTTCTT